GTATGACCAACTTTTAGGCAGATGAAAAAAACATTTCATCAAAGTTTAAATCTATTGAAAAACCCTTTATTTGTCTTTTTTGATCCACTTCAAATGTTGACTGCTGTACGGAAGTATACTAGTGCAGGGCAGTTACAAGACAACAAATCTATGATGAAGTCAACAAACATCATAAGCGTCATTTTGTACACAAAGAAAGATGAAGAATGCTGGGGGAATAACTGCCATTGATGGTTAGTTTATAGTTCTGCGTTGAGTGATCAGCGTGACCCATGGCACCTGCCTTGCGCGTTTCTGTGCATTTAAACTTCTGCGTGCTGTTTGTGTTGCTCTGTAATAACACTTCCGAAACGCTAGCTGGCAGTAGGTTATGTTCCTCTGTGTCGAGTTTCTTAGAGGGTATTTTGTTTTTTTTTTAAAGATACCTTAATTTACAAGTACCTAAAACTCGCTCATTTAGAGGCGGGAACCAGCGTACGTGCAACAACTTTTATCTTAAGGTAAACACAAAATAAAAGTTTCCATCTGGAGCTCCTTCACAGGACTTGTTACAACGTGTAGGTAGAGACAGTCTTTAGAGGTGCTCATCAGCGTTAGCGTCAGCAATGACGAGGGCTAAGCGACCGCGCGAAGGCTGCACCGGACCATATGCGTGTGCTAGACGCAGATGTATAAATCAGCCTTTACGCTCATATCTCGTCTTTTGAAGTGCTGTGCACATGAGCATGTTGTTTAGATGCCGTGTCAAGTTAAACAAACTTCAACTTTCAAACGCAGTGAAGCTCATCACTGTCAGTTCCACAGCAGTTGAACAATCACTAGATCTCAGAGGTGGGGTTTTGTGGAAAATTTCTGTTTACAGGCGCTTATTGTCTGGATAGCTTTGCACTTTTTTTCAAACTATTCTGAACTGTTGTGTGTCGCTTTTTTTAGAAGCAAAGATGAGTTCAGTGTGAGTGAGCCCATGGACTTTCATTGTTTCTTTTGTAGGATGACAATGGCTGCTATTTTTCATCATTTTTCACAAAGTCTTATTTTTTGTTCACGTTAGGAAAGACATTCATAAAAGTTTAGAACCATTAGAGTGTGAGTAAATGTTCATTTTTGGGTGAACTTTCCTCACAACATTCCGCCACAGCCATATCACCCTGCAGCCCAAGAGCGGTTACTCACTGATGCTAAGCAGGGCTGAGTCTGGTCAATACCTAAATGGGAGACCACATGGGAAAACTAGGTTGCTGTTGGAAGTGGTGTTGGTGAAGCTACCAGAGGGTGCTCAACCTGCAGTCTGTGTGAGTCTTAATGCCTCAGTAAAGTGAAGGAGACACTATACTGTTAGTAAGCGCCGTCTTTCGGATGAGACGTTAAACTGAGGTCCTGACTCTCTGTGGTCATTAAATATCCCATGGCACTTCTGGTAAAGAGTAGGGGTCAAACCCTGCTGTCCTGATTAAATTTCAACCATCGACCATCCCCTAACCGAATTGGCCCTATCACTGTCTCTCCACTCCCCCTATAGCTGGTGTGTAGTGATCCCCCCTCATGATTCTGAAGCATTTTGAGTGCAGACACCATAAATGCACTATATGAATACACTTTACATTACATTAACATGTTTGTCTTTCTGATGTTCCAGCTCCAACTCCTGGAGAAGAAGAAGCAGCTGTTGGTTCAGATGGGAGAGGCGCAGGAGCTGAAGGAGCACGTGGACCGGCGCGAGCAGGCCGTCTGCAGAGTGCTGGGATGCTGCCTGACCCCAGAACAGATGCGGGACTACGGTCACTTTGTGAAGATGAAGGCGGCGCTACTGGTAGAGCAGAGGCAACTGGATGACAAGATACGGCTCGGCGAGGAGCAGCTCAGGGGACTTCGAGAGAGCCTCGGCCTGGGTTTTGGGATGGCGTATGGCCATTACTGAGAAGTGCTTTAAATAATACATGAGTGGGACCAAAAGGATTTTGTACTGCAGTATACTTCCAAGAATGGACATGACAATGACACAACAGTTGAACGCAGAAAAGCACAGCAGGTGTTCAGTTTAAAAACACTACATCCCTACTTGAAGTTTGTTTGTTTGTTCTTTAGCTGCACTAGTATCTGTTCATTTTGTCGCGCTTACTCTGTTAACCTCAGTCACTACCAAAGAACGCATGTGTGCGTATACTTCTCGTTAAATACAGCAGGGGGAGTGTCCATGCACTGCTATTTATTTATTTATGTATATATTCATGCATACAATGTGTAATTCTCTCTGGCAGTTCACTTCAGAATCCTGCATATTGCTTTAACGCTCACTTACATTCTTATGCTGCATGCATCCGATTGGCCTTTTTCTTGCATTTAATGTGTTTAGTTTTCGAGAGATGTGGATGTACATAATAAACGTGTACATAGCGGATGCTACAGTGCATCTTTTAGTCGCAGAAGTTTCATTCTGTCGTAACTGGAACTTTTTTGAACATTGCATCAAGAGGTGCCTATTTTTGTGAGACATCACAATCAGTATGCCTTACAGTACTTGCTACACTCTTCTGGGATGAATATTAATGCCAAAGATAACATTTATGTCCATCCAAGTAAGAATATAAATGTTTCTGTGCCTGTCTTGGGAAGTGGCGTGCACAAACGTCTTAAAGAAGACCAGCCTTGCCTTAACCAAAGCCCTTATATAGACATGTGTCCTTTGAATAAGTTTATACTTAAAAGAGATGCACTGTGTTTAACTTTGTGTATCATATGACGAGCTGACATGGCAACTTTTGAGGCAATTGCTACTAGATTTCTTTTCCTTTGTGAGAAAGTGGATGTTTCTCTTGAGGGAAGGAGAATGCTGCTTTGGTGACCATTTACTACCGTAAAAGGGTTTTTTTCCGTTTTGCTAAAACAAATTGAGTTGATTGATGATGATTATGGAGGAATTCGATTTGCATTTGAAGGGTTTGCTGTAAAGAAAGGAATGAATGTATGTATTTGGTTTGAGATCAAGAAGGCTAATGTGCCTTTGTGCTTATTTTTGCCCTTTTAAATTTAGCTTCACTTTGTATAAACGGTATAGTTTGTTTACTATAAACGGAACTTGTTCATTTGTTGTATCATACTTTGTAAACAGCTTAGTTTTGGAGATGAGAGGATTGGAAATATTTGGTCTCCAGAATTGTCCTAATTTTGTGATCAAAAGGAGTCATTGTAAAACGTACAAATAAAAAAAACATTATCTCATCAAGTTTGTTTCCTTTACATTCATATAATATAAAAATTTTTTGTGTTTTAAAAAATACAATATGACAGTTTTGTAACCTAAAAACTTAACTAACGTTTGAACGACAAACATTCGATGTTTAAAATATGAATTAAGTTAGTTTGTCTGTGAATTAGTTTGTCTTTACGTAATTAATAATGGGGTATGTGCACACAGACTTTTAATTTCAGTCAGCCAGCTTGCCGTGTTTAAGATCTGATTTCTTAAATAAAAAAATAAATAATAAAAACAGCAACCTTTACTGCCTGTAGTATGTACTGGGTATCAGACCAAACAAGAAGCACTGTATTAAATTATATTTTTCTGTGCCATGTCTTTAAAACATAGAAGTTAATTTTATCCCAGTATTTTCAATGGAATTTTTGCATCTTTCGTCTCTTTTAAGCTTTAACAACCAAATGGATACTAAAGTTTATTTAACTGACTATATTTGAACTACATTACAACATCAATGCTGTAAAAGGAACCTATGAAATTGAAAAAGTCACATAAACCTTTCGCCAGAAATTCATCATTGGCTGAAAACATAGATGTACACTATATAACGCATACGGACACTGCGTCATTTGCACAGTGCTCCCAGGACAAATGTCATTCAACTGCACTAGTCAAGAGTAAAGCCAATGTGAAGATGCTGGACTATAGTGCTATGTATGGGTGTAGTAATGAGCAAACAAAGCACAAAGGCAGAACATTTCATAGGTAAGATTTAGGTTTTACACTTTTGCATGTTACGAACTTTTGTGATAAGTTTTGATAATATTTTCTTACTGCACTTACCATAAGGCAAAGCAGCACCAACTCGCACTAAATACTAGACGTATGCTAGTTTTGGTCAATAAAATAAGTAAACAATGTAAATGAAATATGACAATAAGATGCTGCGGTGCTAGAAACTTGTATTATTGTCTGCTAAGTGAACGAGTCGTTCATAGGGATTCATTCACAAATCTCAGCTAGTTGTTCATCACGTTCTTCATTCACAAATGAATCGCTCCCTTTGTTAGAATTAGAAGTGAAAGCGGGAGACGGGTGTGTTTCAGGATACAGTATGGAATAGATCAAATTTAACAGGAAGAGAGAGTAATACATTTCCATGCAGACAAACACTCTTTTTCGGCAATGCCCATGCGATCACTTATCCATTGATGTAGAAAAGTGATGTAAAATTATAATTTTCGTTATTTAAAAAAATATTTGCATACTGACCACTCTCAATCTTGGATATATGTGGATATCTCTGGCTCTGAATGGCCAGTCCTCTACTGCACATTGGTCCCACATTCATTTCAAAGCAGCGCTAGCCTGTACTAAAATGGCGGTTCTATTCACGCATTCCTTCCATCTAATGTAAATATCTATGTTGATTGCTGTGCATATTGCCCATTACCGTGTCAAAGAGCTTAGAATTACTAAGAGGCAACACTCAATATAACACGTTCCATTGCAACAGCAGCGCCCAGCAATAGCTGTCACGATGGCAAGCAGCTACTTTGTTTTATTTATTTAATTAAAAAGCGCATTGAAGCTGAGATACAACCTGAAAGATGACAATACAACACTTGCCATTACAATCATCAGCACTTTTAATAGTTATTTTACAGACTTCTAATATGCTTTTGTTCTATTAGTTTTCATTCCAAAATGGCTGCCGCTCCATCTAGTGGCTGTTTCCCAAATCGCACTAGAGTGTCGCCTCTTGGTGATTCTGTGCTCTTTGAACGTGTGTTGATTGGACAAAAGAAGTGCACGCACTACTTGGCGGGAAACGTGAAAGTATAAATAAGACTCGCGCACGCGCTCACACACAGTCAGTGCAGAATTTCTCTCAGAAGTTGTCGGCGGTGCCCTCCATCATGTTTGGATTTGTACGAGCGCTTAAAAGAACGAGATGTACACCTGGACAACGTGTCTTTCCCTTTAGCCACCGTTTCTACATTAACTCCAAATCAGCTAAAAGCAGTGTCGGCGTTGTGGTAAGTTTAACTAAGCGAGCTTTTCCTGTCCTAAACATCTCAGAGTTACAGGCTAATAATTGACGTTTTCGCTGATTTATTAAACGCATTAATAGTGTGCAATCATTATTTACTTATTAACAACATGATTTGCTTTTAACCACCAATCTGCATACATTTTGAGTAGTTTTATCAGTCTCTATTGTTTAAACTGGTAATTCTCCAGTATAACTAGTAAGTTAAACTTCCTGATTTTAATTAGTAGCTTGAATTGTTCTCTTTCACTGTAACATTAATTCATATTCAACTGATTGGTTTTAAAGATTACATTCAAACATAACAATTCATGGCATCCTTTTTAGTGCAAATGCACAGGTTTATCAGATATACTGTGCCAGTTTCAGTTTACATCAGCACATTATTATACACTAATGCTCAATGTTGCGTTTATTCCCACTTTTAGGAGAGCGTATTTGTGATGACCTTCATCTCTCTTGCTGTTCTTGGTCCGGCAGCATGGTTGCTGTCCAAATCATCTGATACCCACAAAAAACAGCAGTGAGGAAGAATGACGATGCCTTCTGCCAGAGGACCAGACATCTGTGTATTCTAGCAGTTTCAGTTGTACACTAACCTACCATCAGTGTGTGTCAATGTCAAATATGCATTTAAATATGGTGATCAAATACAACCTTTTCAATACCCCATTGTTTTATTTATTGCTGATTCCCATCTTAACTCGAAGTCTGTGCCTGCCAATGATCATTTCTGTAACCACAAACTCACTTCAGCCAGTAGAGGTGTAAATCCCTTTAATAAAACTCATGAAAGGCAGTGTAACAAAGGAAAAACACTAAAAGCAAGTTTACATTTACAACCACATAACCAAAAAATAAACTACTGTACAACCGTAATGCTGCCGTTTGATGCAGTGTCAATTGTTCTGAGATCAATAGCTTAAATTGTCTGTAATGAAGACAAATTCACTTTGTAATGGAAGAAAAAACTGGATTGAATCTTTTTATTGTGATTTTTAATAATAGCCTGGCAAACATGTATGTACGCATACATATGACAACTTGGCTGTAGAACTGAGATGGTTTCTTCACAATGGAACCACAGAGAATATATATGTAGGAGTATCACTTATACAGGATGTCGTAGTGGCCTGGGCGGTAGAGCAGGAAGATGCGTGGCTCACTTCCTTCAGGAAAGACATGATTGTTCACCGTTCCACCCTCTCCTCTGTCCATGTATTCCACTAATACGGGCACGTTCAGTGCCTGTGCTAAGGCAATGATATGAATGTGGTCACTTTCTTTTGACATGGGTTCCACCTCCTGAAAAAAACAATTAGTTAAGCATAATCAGATTTTCTTTAACACTTATTTTTGCTTAACGTAACACAGTTCAATACCAAGGCAATGAATTAAGCATACATTTACATGCCATTGTCAATACAAACTGTTGAAAATGAGGTTCAGTGTAAGTTGTAAAGCTATATTGAAATCATTATGCCAAATATTAGTACATTGTTGTCTGCGACACCCTTTGTTGCTTTGGATGATGTATGCCAAATCCATGAATGTAATTTTCTATTTTGTAAATTCAAATAATATTCAGAGTAAGTCCTATATGCTTATTTCACGACATTTTAAAGAACGAAAGTGAGGCTGCGATGGAATGAAACCCAGAAGTTTAGGATCAGCACTGTAAACATTGCAACATGCTGTGGACTACAAACCTCCAGCAGCGATTTGAAAATGCAGAAATGGTGAGAACATCACAATAATATCATTCAGTTACATTTAATTGAAATAATTAAAGGCATATTGTCGCCAATTGGTGAAGTTATTTTTTTCCTCACCGCTGTCGCCACTAGCTTGCATGGTTTGGGATATGTAGAGCTGCACATCGATGAATTTACTCTTAAGTGTTTGGACTCTCAGTAGTGATTATTAAACCACGCTGAACTGAAACTGAAAATTGAACTACACTGTTCCAGTTTACTATGATCTTTTATGTGAAGCTGCTCTGAAACAATCTTCATTGTAAAAATGCTATACAAATAAATGTGAATTGAATTGAATATTAGGCATCAAACTAAATCACAATCTCTTTAAGAACAATACGCTTAAGTGTCCTCCTAGGCTTTAGTTCATGGCACCAGGTAAACACTGTAGGAATTTTTTTTAAATGTCAGTACTGAAATTCAGTGTCATGACAAGTCTAATGTAGTGAAAGAATCAGTTCATTAACTTGAGTTTGATAAATGGCATCTAAAACGTGTGTTTGGGAAAGAAAACATTAGCTAACTCAGGGGTCACCAAACTTGTTCCTGGAGGGCCGGTGTCCTGCAGATTTTAGCTCCAACCCTAATCAAACACACCTGAACAAGCTAATCAATGTCTTACTAGGCATACTCGAAACACCCAGACAGGTGTGTTCAGGCAAGTTGGAGCTAAACCCTGCAGGGACACCGGCCCTCATGGACCGAGATTGGTGACCCCTGAGCTAACTAGTACCATTTCCCATACCTTAACTGAAAAATAAGGTCCGATATCCCTTTCTATTTTCATTATTCATTGAGAACGGACCTTCAAGTCACTCGGAAGACGTGAAAGTATACATTTGTGCCGCTTTCTCTTTGCTGATAAGATATATTCATCCAGGTACACAACATTCCTGTATGACATGTGAGGCAACACTTCCGTGTTTCTTCCAACCGCAGCCTTGATTTCGCCGTTTAAAATGGCGGCCGGGTGAAATCAGTCTATTGGGCTTGTTTACACCTGGTCACTTCATGCGTTTTTTTTTATATCTGATATCTAAAAATGGGTCCATTTACATTTGACTACATTAATGAGTACTCGCTAAACTGATAGGATTCCGATCTTTAAATGCTGCTCTATATGCACTACAACTACCTAAGTTACATCGACTAAAGCGTCAGATACAGCACATTTCATTTAATCAACATTATTATTTGCAGAAATGTAAGCTATACATCTTATTTAAATCCCATTGTATATGCAGCATTACAAGTGCATCAGGCAGCCTCAGTGATCACTTTCATTATAAACATCTATTTTAGTTATACAAATATGTCCAAGACATCTTTCATAACTGTATACATAATCCCAGAAACAAAACAATGCGCCTTTGTAAATGAATGCAGCAGTAATAGATTTCTATTCCCTCTTTTCACAGATACAGTCTACCAAAATGTTGTCATCTGATATTAATTTAACCATTTAATTTGATCATTTCATGGTCAAAAATAAAACAAAATAAAAAAAATGTAACTAAAACAAACATCTTAACTGTCACCTGTGGCCTTCCGTTGCTTTTGCTGTTGCTTTTGGTCATTTAGCCCACAACACATGTGCTCTCACGTTTATTTATCTTTTTTTAAGTTGGGGAGAAGTAAAATTTACATGTGTGTTTTTTAACAACCACAGGCATTTAAACCAGCCTAGTTTGGTCTGGAAACCACCTCCTGAAGCGGTCTGAGAGATCAGAATCATATCCATCTCAAATGCGCTTAAGAGGGCGTTTACACCTGCACATATCATTATCAGATAGCTATATGATCAGAAAAAAAACACATGAAGTGACCAGGGGTCCGTTCTTCGTACCTCGCTTAAATGATCTAAGATGATTTGGCAGATCCTGGATCTTTTAATCTTGATAACTGATCTCTCGCTTATTTGGTTCTTCAAACAAGTTCGCGAATCAGATTAGAATGTCTGGATGAACTGATCTGAGATCGCTGCGTGTGTTGTTAAGGACAGATCTATCGATCCTCGAAATCATGATCAGCAATGCAACGATTGGCTGACGGCACAGCAGCGTAATGACATCATCTGATTAATATTCAATTATCCATGTGAACAAAATTACATCAAATTAGCAGTAAACGGCTTGTAAAATATGACACGCAGTAACTTCACATTTGTTTTGAGCTGCAGGCTTTACACTTTCATTTGTCAAGACAAGAGTATTCATCATGCATTTCAATGCAAATCAATGTATTTAGTTCCACATTTAGAAAAGATTTTCTTTATTATAGTAGCCGTTTTTTAATCGGTGTAAAGAATAACTGGTTGTTTCCAAAAGCATTTTGATATTGGTAAAGGCGTCTGCAACTTTTGTGAAGCATCAAATCACTGGCATATTAACTGTCAAAACATGTTTATGACTGCATAAATGTATTATTGCTTTTAAAAAAAAGTGACATATTGTGCATTTCTATCATACACAATTTGTACTAAAGCGATCTAAAAAGTTCATATCAATAAGTTTTCTCTTTGCACCACCAGGTGGCAGTCTACTTTCATTTCGAGGGTGCAGATTACATACGTTTTATTAATATGTAAAACTTTATTTATTTTATTAATGACTATAACTTTATATATATATAGTTAAAAACTACTATTTTCCCAATTGTATATAACTTTTACTGTAAGAAAATATCAAAACTCGGTACATACTTTCTGTATTATCTTTGCTTGAACTGAGCCGATCTAATCCTGTTTATATGAATTGAACCTGCTCCCGATCAGGTTTGACCTAGCAGATCTGTTGCCATGACAACAACTCTCGGATCAGCGTTGAAGAACGAAACGATCCTGGATCGTGTCAAATCGTCAATATCCAAATCCAGCTAACTGAGTAATCCACGTACGAAGAACGGACCCCAGGAGTAAACAGCCCCATTGAAAGGCCATAAATATTGAGCCATTAATGATCTTCAGGTGTTACTCGCCTGCTGGCAGAACTCTTTGACGGAGCGTCCGCCCTCTATGAAGTGCTGAAAGAACACATGCTCCCTCTGCAGGTATCCAGAGGTGAGAAGCCTCAGATAAACCACTATGTAGTCGGACACACTCTGGTCATTGAAGGAGCTCAGCACTTCTCCGAGCGACTGCTGCTTTTCACATAGCTCAATCAAGTCCATGAACTGAAAAAAAAGGAGAAGGTTAAACATAAAAATAAACATGAACTCAAAAACTTCTAAACTGACATAATCCATAGCTTTGTTACTGCACAATATTCTTGAGGTGAACAACTAAACTGCGAGGTAATTTCATATTCAGCCTCAATAGTCCAATCTGGATAAGCATTTCTTTGATGTTAGTTTGACAACGTGGACAGAATTTGCCATTTATCAACTACTAATTTACTTCTGCAAGTTAAATATGAAGCAGAGAAGTGCTCAAATAAAACCTAGACTTCTGTTCAGTTTTCAGTTGGAAATGGCAACAGTTCCAGTTATGCAGATTTCAAGGTCCCAATACATTTCAAGCTAATTACAGAGAAAACGGATGTTAAACCAAGTCAGGACAGAACAGAGTTCATCTTGAGTGTGTTTCATGACTTCAAAACAGCTTGTCTAATTGTATTTGCTGAATAGTTAGCTCTAGCTGGTAAACAACTATTGGTCCACAGTGATAACTCTCTGATTTAAATCAACACAATGTGACTTTACTGGATGCTGAATTGCAAAGCCCATGCAAACCTTTAAATACTTTATTGTTGTTCTCATTTTGCCTTGTATTCATTTTGCATGGAAAGTGTGCTGCACATTTTCATCTTAACACTCAGCACTCAGCAGTGGAGTTGCTGTCATGCTGTTTACTAACCTACAAACTTTACAAACAGTACATTTAGGTAAATTAAAGCAATAGTTTTTTTTAATAATTGTGTTCTGTATAAACATAAATGAAAGTATTAGATACACATCTGCAGGCCAGAAGAAATGAACTACAACCTTTAGAATGTGGAAAAATAGTAAATTACAGCATTTGGCTTTTTGAATTGTAAACTTTGGATCAGGAAAAGATTAAATTCATTCAGTCAGACAAACACTATTTACAAACAAATTTGAATTAAATCATTTTGTTGCTGGTGATGATACCCACGGGGGTAGTTTGCGGACATATATCAATTGAGGTAAAGTTAGTTTTATATTCACACAATTGGACTTTCTCCTTAATCATATAATTTCACAAAGGTATTTTTCACAAATTCTAAATAGTGAAATCATATTAGCAGCCACTGACTATCAGAGTACAATATTGTTCACATTTAAATTAATAGTGCTACTGTTGTTTTCTAGTCATACTTGCATAGCATTTCAGACTGAATATTCAAAGTACCATTGTAAACAATATAGGTCTGTGTATAAATGTCTGTAAATGTAAATATATATATATATATATATATATATATATATATATATTTTTTTTTTTTTTTTTTTTTTTTTTTTTTTTTTTTTTGAGAAACATTTAAAATATTTTGTAGCAGTAAACATGTCAGGCTGAATAATTCAATTTAATCATTGACTTCTGGTGTCTTTATTAGTTTCAGAAACACAGATTTCTTTAATTTAAATGGCATATTTGGATATCTTTTCTGCTAGAGATACTGGTGTCCTAAAAAAAACTCTTAACAAAAAATGTTGGTGGTTCTAAAACCTTCACTTTTCCAAACTGCAGTAAACCTTGAAAATGGTTGTTGTCCCATGCCTACATGTCACAAGTTGTCACTGAATGAATATGCGAGTATAAAATCAACTTTACCTCAATCATATATCGCTAGTTTGAATCATGTACTTTTCACAATACCATACCCTTCCTCTATCTCTCAAACTTTGGTTCTTGTCTAAGTACTATCCTATCATAATATATTCAAAACTGCTCCAGAAATATCCTAAAACAAAATTAAACTATTTAGTTGTCTAACTGTATACTCTGTGTCCTCAAGTGGAGTTATTTGGAATGGCGTAAGTATTTTTGCTCTATGAATTGAATTGGCAGATATCCAACCTAAAAATTGTTTTGCAGAGGTAAACTTGTAAATTCAAATTTGATGGATATCATCAGAATGCAACCCAACAAAATGCCTCTTCTTTTTAACAGCTTTTGGCTGACTGGAGTCTTAAAACATCACTGCTATCTGTTGTAGGATATGGTGCAAAATGTAAGTGCTTGGCCATTTTCGTAATCATTATCAACGGTTTATATAAAGCTTTATTTATACAATGGAACATTAGCTACAATTATGTCAGCCGCACTCGTGTGCCTGAACTTTTTTTTTTTCAGTTTCAAAAAGTATGTTTGATTCCACTGTGACAGTGTCCTGCTAAAGAGATATGTGCAACTTCTTTTTAGCCCAAAGATTACTCAGTATATTGTTTCCCTTTACTCCCCAGTTGGCATAATTCAGACCTCCCTGTAACTCAATCATGGCGTTTGACGTCATATGATTGGCATTTGATTTAATAGCATTTGATTGACTACAAGGTCATGGATTTGATTTCACTGGAAAGAACTGATAAAATATGTATGTATTAGGGGAATTTGAATAAAAGCATTTGTGAAATGCATAAATCGAAAATTAAAGGATTTTAGAGCCGGAGTATGAGGGCCATGAAACTTGAGCATAGTTTTTTAATAGTAAATATTTCAACTCACGGTGTTGTGAAAGTCCTCAATTGTGAACTCAGTGAAGCCCTGGTTTACAAGGTCCAGCTTGCTCTTTGCTGCAACAGCTTTGAACCTAAAATGCAAAAAAATGTACATTAAGACATTTACTAAAAAGAATGCGAATGCCAAGAATAAAGCAAACAATATACACAGAGGCTGCTATCCCTTGAAGAACTCTACCTTTGCAGCTCTTTGCTGTCTTCCAATAGTGACTCCAAATGTGCAAAGCCAAAAGCTCTGTAGAAACAATTTCCATCTGGCCGTGTTTTCCGAATGCTCGAATACTTTTTGTGAAGGTCCTATGAGCACAAAGTAAGAAACACATTTACAGAAGGTTTTGGCATTTACTATGAATTCGCCAAATAAGCTTGTGAAGGTGTAGTGACCTGTATCTTGAGTTGGTATATGGTGTCCTCCATGGCATATTCTCCCTTAAGCACAGAGAGCTCTTGTCTGTCCGACACTAAAGGGTTACTGGTGGCTATCTGTTAAAACAGAACGGGTAAGCTCATTTATTCCTGAAAACTGTGTGGCTTTTTTATTTAGGGAGGTTAGTCAGAATGTGTCTACTCTTTTCCGTACATCAAATGTGAATATAGTGTAAGTGTAATGTAAATAATTATTTCTTTTTTAAAGATTTCAGATCACACTCTTAGAGTGCTTTTTAAAGAGTATTGAGATTCTAATAGCAGTGGTGGTCATAACAGTGCCAAATGATTGGGGAATAGCTCAAACATTAACATTTTCATGTTATTACCCACTTTATAATAGTTAGTGATAATTTACAATGCTATTGTATGTTAACTGCGCAATAAGGCTCCAGCAGACATTATTTAGTTTAACTTAACTCATGGAAAAAACTACTAAATGTTTGAATAATCTTTAGGCGTTGTTAATTTCTTATTCATTGTCTAATAATGCTATAACCCTAAGACAGCCATGTATCCAGGGGGATACTTACAATTTCAGAGGCTGTGGTGAGAGATTTAGAAAGTGTGAGTCCAATGTATTGGTATCAATTTAAAAAGCTAATTGTTAGGAATGTTTAGATCAGGTGACTTTGTTGATACATCAAGTGTTAACCTGACAGACAGCACTATTGCTGACTTTTTCGAGAAACTTCACAACTTCAGGAAAAAGTTAAGTGTTGGCTGATCATGGTTATGTGGCAGTTTTTTTAATTAACATTGTACATTTTACATAATCTGTCTCTAAATGGTGTGCATCTCTGGGGAAACCTTGACAGTTCAGGCAATTTTTGATGTTGACAATTTTTTATATTCTTAAATGTTAGATATATTTAATAATTTGGCCATTTATTTATAAGTACAATGAATTCATTTTTCAAATCAGGAATAAAAAGATTTTTTAGGGAAATATTATGGTGGAACAAACAGTTGCAATAATTTGCATTAGGAGTCCACAGAAATGACACTTACAGCAGCAGTAAACAGGAGAGTATTTTTTAAAATGGAAATTGTATTTTGGAATTTGAATGAATTAAAATTACTCATTTAAATTAATAATGTTGTTTAAACAGTTTAGAATCGATAATAAATGTGTTTGGCCAGTTTTAAAATAAGAGAAGACAATATCCCAGTTTTTAGCTCCTAACTAATTTTTAAAAATCTATGAATATTTGTTCCTTTTTATAACTAAACAGTCTTTGCATCCTGGAAGATACAATTTATTAAATCCTAAATAAACAAAAAAACAAAGTCAAAAATCCTTTGGACATCTTTTACACAGCTTCAGTACATCTCAATCAAATTACGACTGTTTTTAAGTGATAAAAATCGTCGTAATCTGATTAAAGGTTGTAATAATTTTATTAAATGAAGGTAATAACTAATCAGTTTTTTATGCCATTTTTTAACTAATATTAACATTTTAACTAATAAATCTGGCTTTTTTTCTGATGTTGATTCTAATCCATTAAATAACATTTATTGAGACTTTATTGTAAAGTGTTTAACTTATTCTCTCTATTTAGGGTCGATGTGTTATATCTTGAATTATGTTTTGTTAAATAGATGATGAAAATAGTGCGTAGAAATTGTGTGTGTTGAAACCAGAGCATAATACAACTGACTGGATTCACACCAAGTATTTATTTTCTTCTAGTAAGATATCAGCAAGTAAAAAGATTCCTTGACATTTAAAGATTTTGAACATCAAACAACATCTTGAACAACAAAAGGGCAGATAAGATGAGTGCTAAATTAACATTATAATCCATTAGTACGGAGGTTAACGGAGTTATTCTCTGTGTCAACTGGCTTTAATGCAATTTTGTTTGGTGGTGACAAAATGGCATGCTTTAGCTTTAAATTCTGTTTGGATTTAGAAAACACTGAATATAGCTTACAAGTTGCATGTTGCGACTTGTAGCGTAATATAGGAGCAATTCCATGCAAATGTCAACCTTGCCATAAAAAATAATGTTTTCATCAAAATAGCGCAACTGTTTCTACGTTTTTTGTGTAAGCAATTAGTAAAAATACTCAAATATCTCTGTCAGTGTTTTCAAACAATTATATTTGATTTGTGGCATCCATTACGGTGAGATGTCACATCCATAACCAAGAGTTTTCTTCATAAAATGCAAAAAATGTCAAATAAAATAAACTCAATCATGTTTGTTTTATAGAGCCAACTCTATCTTATTATTTGGCATTATTTATTTTGTGTTGTGCAGTTTAAATCACAGAATTAAAACAAAGTATGTTGTCGATTGTAAACTCGCAGACTTTTGTGGTCACATCCATATCGCTCATTTAAAATATAAAAAATGTTTACAGATCGATACTTTTCTGATCCCATAACTCTGCGGTTAGTTCATTTGTAAAATATAAACAGATGTTTCAATAAAATTTTATATACATATACTGTGAATTTATGCTTAGAATTTTTACTGCATATGTCACATCCATAACGGTGGAATTTTTCATATACATGTGCAGTGACAGCACATCTCTTTAATTGTACAGAATTAAAATAACAGCACACACAATTTTCTTATACAGAAGACAGAAAATTGTCTGTTTAAAAAATAATAAATTATAAGTTAGTGTTTGGATTAAAAAAATTAACAATTTCACAAAAGTAAACGTCAGTAATTTTTTCAGTGAACTAAAACTAAACCGCAAGTCTTCCTTTAAAAGTGGCACTGAGTTCCCAACAAACACATATACGTTGTAGCGATGTCTGCACAACGTTGTATTTTTTCAAAGGCAACGTTGTCTCTTACGTGCTCGCTACATTGTCACAACGTAGAAATGTAAGACGTGAGAAGGCTGTAGCAACGTTGTCGTGCGACATTCAGCAACCGCGAGGCGGCGTTCTTACTACTTGTATTAATATTTTTTGTGGCAGTTTATCAATACTGCCTAGAATACAGGATAAGCAGCAATTCTTTTCCAGTATTGCTAAATATGAAATATTATTCATTTATTTTTCCTATTTAATTTAACAATTGCATGTGTAAACTTTAAAGTGTAAAAATGCCACACAAATGAATATAATCAAACTTTTTATTATATATTTCACAACATTTAATACATACAGTACACATACAGTATCTAATTATAAGCAAACAGTATAAAATAAAGTTTAGATTATATATATATATATATATATATATATATATATATATATATATATATATATATATATATATATATATATATATATATATATATATATATATATATATATAATTAAACTAAAGGGTAAAAAAACAAGAAAAGTAAACAAGAAATCATTAAAATGTAAATAAATATATAAATAAATATATAAATTAAAATTCAAACACTGGGCAGTGAAGCTCTGGACTGGAGAATACAGCAGACCGGGGAGCGCAGCTGAAGACCAGTCGTAGTTGTTGGTATGGAGAAAGCAGTCAGAGGAAGAAACAAATTCAACGGATAATCCAGCTTCAGAGATCCACAGCAGACAAGTCAAAATAGGCAGTGAACAAGAGAGGACAGATCAGAGCTTGACACAACAGCACTACACAGGAAATGACTATGACTAGCAAGTTATTGAAGTTTCAGACATTTATTGTAATTTCATTACATATAAAATCTCCAGTGAGTAATTATGTGGCCTATTTTATTTTAATGTTTTAATAATATATCATATACCAAAATTACATACAATTAAATAAATTTAGAGATACAGGGAAAACAGGTTTTAGTTAACAGAAGTCAGAGTTAGTCTCCGAATACTTACTTAAATTATGAGTAGAGAAAGAAGAGGCCCTGTAGTTGTGGCGTTGCTCGCTGTAAATGGAATGTTAAACTTAGTGTCATTTCAATAACAGCTGTACAAAATAATAAAGTAATTTTTCATAAGCATGATCTATTTTCCACATTATGGACATGCTGTTTTAGGTAACATAACTACATTTAATAGTAAATAGAGTAGTATACTTCTTACCTCATCCAATTCTTCTTTCCATAGATCAGGAATTACAGCAACACTGATCTGAGGTGAATTCAACAGCTGAAAACATTCTGAAAGACAAGTTACACGAGTAATTTGAAAACAACAGTGAGTGGTTAAACAATAGTTTCATGCAACTTACGCATAATTAAAATCCAGAAATTATCAATAGAAGATTACCTCCATGTAAAAATAGCCTGTTGAGTAAAGAAACGAGTGGGTTTTAAATAAAACGTCAAAAGACCAATCAAAATAGAAATTTAGACTAGCAGACCTTTTAATTACTATCTATATTAATTAGGCATATGAACATTAATTTATATACTTTAACTTATAGGGATAGCTCACCCAAAACTGACAATTCTGCCATTTTAACCTCATCCTTTATTTGTTGCAAACTTATTTAGCTTTTTTTCTGCTAAACAATAAAGAAGATATGTTAAATAAAGCTGGAAAACTGTAACTATTTAATTCCATAGTGTTTTCCTACTATGAAAGGAAATGCTTACAGTCTTTAGTGTTCAACAGAATAAAGAAACTTAAAGGTTTGGAATCACTTATTATTTACAGGGCAAATAATTCGTGAGTACATATCATTTTTGAGTGAACTGTTCCTTTAACGGGACGCAATCTGCACAGAGATGATTTGTTTTTAAAAGTTATTTTGTGTGTTTTGTAAATAGTGGGTCGGCTCGTGTGATGAAGTATCATACTAACTGATCACGACGGATATGGAAAAAACTGAACTTCAAAAACATTATTGTCCATTTAATTAAAGACAAGGCGTAGGTAAATAATCAGGAAATGTTTTATCGAGAGATTTAACATGTGATGTTGGAAAAGATTGTTGTCGAAATCGTAGGTTTGTTTGAATATTCACGATTTACGTATCCTATTTAGCAAGAAGAAATAAAGCAATACTCACGTCTCCTCGGTCGTTGATGAATGAGACGACGGCTTGTTGAAATTTAAACTGATTCAGCTGTGACCAGTAAATGTTGTACAGTGGTCGTCCACGCCACCTAAGCACAACCTAAAGCATGCGACCCTCATGATGTTTAAATGGCAACCTTATGACATCGTTGTGACAACCTTTAGCAACAACGTAGAATCCTCAACCTTTTTGCAATGTTGATACAACGTTGTAGGAAGGTCGCTACGTTGAGGCAACGTTGTGTGTTTGTTGGGTTGTTCCTCACCTCTTGCTGAATGCGGTCCTGCTGTGCCATAATGGCTTCATCATATGCGAGGCAGTTGACTCCTGCAAAACATATTCATCAGTAATGATGAAGTCATAAATGTTTTAGACACACACCTGCCACACAAGACCTAGACCTGACCCAATAACTTCTGCTAATGCTGCAGTTTGGTTCAGTTTTACTTCACTTTACTCGTCTTACGTCATTACACGATCTGACGTCATGTAAACAAACTCGTGAGAAATTAATCCTCCAACCATAACCGAACAGAATCCCAAATGTGACGTACAATTAAAATACAAATACATGAATAACACGACTCATCTTCATAAACACTGAGAAAATATTAGTGTTCGGGTGACAATCATACTGCCTCATTTAACCTGAGGATGTAAAACGCGTCTAACGTTATAGAGTTGTATGGAAAAAAAGAGGAAGATGTGAGGTAGATTGAGTGTTATTTTTTTTATTCAACGTTAAATGTTTACTCTCTGCACAGCTCTTGCTCTGCATTTTCTCCTGCTCGTGACAATGCACGCGGATTCTTTACCTAATGCAAGCGGCCTCATGCAGGACCTGCAAGATATTTTGCTTACAGATGTCAGTTGTTTTTTTACAGAGCACGAGAAAACGTTATTTTGCACTTACCCTCCATCTCTCCCTGTGATGATTCCTGCTGCTCATCCGCCATCTTGATTGAGTTCTTTTTCCACCGCCCCCTCTCCCGTGTACTCTTCCGGGTCGTGTCATTCGTGCACACACATGCGGCTGGTGTTTTCTTTCATTTCGAGGACCTTTAACTAAACTGGCGGGTTGAAAATGTTATTAAACAGATTTTTGGTGCCGCTGAGAAGCCTCCAGAAGCTGACGCAGGCACACAGATGGCATCAGACTAGTTTGATAAGTTAGTAGGCTCTACATTTCCTTTTTTACAGGCATAACCTGTCAAGGGTCTGGTGAGATTCCTTTTTATTGACATTTGTCTGCAACGTAGAATGTTTTGCTATTGTTTTACATTCTGTTACAGACAAACTGATCAAATATTTAGATAGTAACTAGTAGATTACACTAATAGTGCTGTGTTTAAAGATCAGATTATGAAAACTAGTTTATACGCAATCAAAGGGCATAGATTTGCTTTTTGGTGGGGACCTAATTTGACAACCCCAGCCCCTTTAAAATGTAAAGTTAAAGGAATCCCTGCTGAAAAATCCAGCTTAAACCAGCCTAGGATGGTTAGCAGTTTTTTTTGCTGGTCGACCAGACTTTTTTTAAGGGGTTTTGGCCATTTCCAACCTGGTCTTAGTTCGCCTGAGAGATGACCAGCTAAAACCAGCTATGCCCAGCTTAAACCAGGCTGGTCAAGTTGGTTTTAGCTGATCATTTTCCGCCTGGTGGTTAGTGGTTCATTCCGCTGTGGTTACCCATGATGAATAAAGGGACTAAGACAAAGGAAAATAAATATATGGATGAATAAATTAATGAATATTATATATATATATATATATATATATATATATATATATATATATATATATATAGTTCATTTATTTAACAAATTACTTGTGTTTACAGATGATCTGGTTGTAAACATGGACAAAAAAGCAATGTGGGACAGATTCTACACAGAAAATGGAAGCAAAGGCCAATTTAAAAATTTTGAGTGGTTCTTTGGGTTTCCCTCAGTTAAGGACCTCGTTCTTCCTGCACTTCAGGCCATGTCTTGTTCCCACAGTGGCCCGTTACACATCCTGGACATGGGTTGTGGCACGTCTGCATTAGGACCATGTATCTACAGCACCTCTCCATGTGCGGTCCGGGTCACCTGTGCCGATATTTCACCAGTGGCAGTAAAACTAATTGAGGAGCACACTAAGTCCACATCAACAAAGCCATGCAACCCATCCTCTGCACTCGTCTTCCTGGAGCTGGACTGCACACAGATGACGGGACACTTTAAACCCAGAAGCCTGGACTTGATATTGGACAAGGGTACTACTGATGCTTTAGTTAGGTCAAAAGAAGGTCAGGTTAAGGCTGGACAGATACTGAGGCAGAGCTTACAGGTGCTGAGACCCTCAGGGAGCCTCTTACAGTTTTCAGATGAAGACCCTGACGCCAGGCTCATCTGGCTGGAGAGAGAAGTTCAGGGAGCAGAAGTGACAGCGGATGTAGGCGTTCAAGAGATTGGTGAATTGAGAGGGGTCAGCTATTTTTGCTACCAGATATCTCCTCGTAGCAGACCCCACTCTTGAAATACAACCCAATTAAAAGTACCCGTATTCTGAAAGATTTCCATGTGAAGATGCTGCATTTGTCCAACAATTAACACTGGTGACTTTTTACTGCAGCCGTATCTTGGCTAATCAAATACCTGTTCACAATATTCGCATCAGACGAAGAACAAACAAAACATTCACACAACTGTTAACTATTAAGAAAACGTTTATTTCAGATTTAAAAAAAAAAAAATAGTTCTTTGTCAAAGTTCCAGATCACTTCAACTTCATCACTTTAACAATTTTTGCGCTCAGTATCTGTGTGTTCGCATTCTTGCATATGGGTTATATTGTCGATGCGGTTTTGGCTTCGCCCAGTGGTTTGCAGGCCAGTAGGGGGCAGGAGTCAAATTTTCACCACCTTCAAACACAATCAGTCTGTTAGCACAAAACTGCATAAAACGCAAATACTGATGATTTAAGGAGTTAATAGTATGTGTCTGTACCTCTATGGCTTGGGTAACCCGTCCCCAAGTATGGTGGAATAGAGAACTGAGGCCCAAAGCCACTTAACTGAGGTCCAAAGTCATTAAATTGAGGCCTAAAGTCATCATACCGAGGCCTAAAGTCATCAACCCGAGGCCTAAAGTCATCAACCCGAGGCCTAAAGTTATCAACCCGAGGCCTAAAGTCATCAAACTGAGGCCTTAAGTCATTGAAATGCCTCATTCCTTGCACCCAGCCTTGACCTAGAAGATGAGCAAAACTGTAATATTAAAATACCCAAATCTGCCTGAAAACTAGTCACAGTATATGTACTATGCAAGAACAAACTTTCATTTTGAATGTGTTTAAACCACAATTAATAGCACTAATAACTACACAATCCCCCAGTGGTGACTGAAAGATGTTCAAAATGAATCATTATCTGTATTACTATGCTGGTTAAGTGAACCCTCAATGTCTTTGATGAGAAGGGACTGGCTGCAGACCAACTGCACGTGCACTCTCAGACATTATAGGCTTATATTGATTACACCTTCCCTGCCCATACTCCTCACAGTGACATCACCTGCACTGAGCGCATGTGACCAATTGTGTAGGTCTGAGAGTGCATCTGTAAGTCTGCAGCCAGACACTATTGAACTTGACTGTTACCATTGTTGTAGCGGGCAGCTGGCATCAAAGGGGGAATAGAGAATCTCTCGTTGCTGTAGGCTCCTGTTAAAAACAATGTTTTGAATTATGAAAGTCTGTTAAAGGATATAAAAACTACCATTTAAATACTTGGATTGGTAAGTTTTTTTAAATACATATCTTGTGCTCATCATGCTTTTAAAAATTCTACTTCCTTCAGTGTGCAATGTTTTAGCATGAGGATAAAAAAGGATCTGCAAAGTTATAAATCACTCCAAAAGGAGATCATCTCTTAGTAAGTTCAGTTTCTGAACTCTCAAACTGCATTCCCTAATGTTATATTTCACACAGGTCTCCAGCTTCGTGTCCATGCTGCAGCCGAATCGCAGGTAGATTTAGGTTTAGGAAGATTTTTTAAACGTGTTTATCACCATGGTAATGTACACTACTAACCTGCTAAAAAAAGCAGGTTTTGTTTTGGTTTACAAATCAACAAATCAATAGTGGGCCAATCAGGTTGAAGCAAAGTGACAGCCACTCCTCTATCTCTCATGCTAAATTACTGTAGTTCACAGCAAAAGAACTTAAAACAAATTGGCCCAGCTTAATATTAGTATAAAATGTACATTATATATTTATCTTTATATATAACAAGTATATATTTGATCATTTAACAATAAACTTTATTATTTAAATAGTTGTGCATGTTAAAGGGCCATGAAACCCCCTCATTTCAGCAGGGTGTTTTCACACCTCTACTTTGGAAAAAGGCAGAAAAGTGGGCGTGTCCAGCTTTGTTTAGGGGGGAAGTGTCGGAGAAAGAAAAGAGGCATGGTGTGGGAGTGTCTATTTGTGCACACGCTGATTTTCAGAGTCAAAACACACACACACACACACACACACACACACACAGGGGGAAAGTGACTGTGTTTACATGGACATGTGTAGTCGAATTATTTGCCAAATTATTAAATGGTGGACTTTAACTGCAGTTTGGCTCTTTCATTCAGGGAATTCATTCATGTCCCTCGCGACAAACGAGATATTTGATTCGAAGAACTGCTCTAAGCGTTTATTTTTCATGCAATGGTTGATACCGAACGGCGAATGCGGTGAAAATCCTACACAAGGTTAAAGTTTGGTTGTAGTGCTAACATGTTTACACTCGATGCAATAAATAAAAATAAATAAACAAAGAGCACTGGTCGCTCACTTACCAAATCTGTAGAGACAGGACAATCACCAGCAACTAGAGGCGTGTCTTTATTAAGAGGAGACTACAAGCGAATCCAGATCTCAGTGTTTGCAGATGAGAACAGCTCTCAGGTAAACAATAATCCTCCTTAGACACGTAAGTTATTGTTGTCGAGTGTCGCGTACACTGTTAATCCACACGTGACGCCAGCTGCGCTCTCACAGAGAGAAAATGAAAACGAAACTTAACTGCAGCAAACTATAAAAGCAACACTTCACAATTGTTTTGCCAACACAACGTGGCGTCTCTGTCGTCTAAACACTGTGACAGTAATGAATATTAATGACGTTGCACAATAGAGCACGCTGATTGGTTTAAACCAAGCCTTACTCATGCATTAATGCAACACACTGTAAGACGTAATAAGACACACTCTGGCACAGACGCCCAGTCTGCACGCTGGAATACACGCTATTATCTCATAGCAGTGACGCAGCTTCAAAAATTCGTTTCAAACCGGAAGTACGAATTTGCTTGAAATAACGCAAAAACAACCAATTTACACTTTTTAGTGAAATATAGGTGTCTTAATAGTGTTTTTAGCAGTGTGAGACACATATACGACTGTCAACAGCTCAAAAAATGTGTTTTGGTGTTTCGTGACCCTTTAAACCTAGTGTTGCTAAACATGTATTTGCACTCATGATTACACACACACACACACACACACACACACTTGTACTGTGTATATTTATATATAAATGCATACACATTTTTATATGAAGAGTTCAGATGCAAAACCCTCTAGATCCATCAGAACTCTTTTCTTGTAAATGAGCATTTTCTATTGGGCTCCTCTGATTAGGTTCAGAAGTTTCATTTTGTATGTATTTAAAATATATTACCTAGTAAATAAAATACCTTTTTTTATTAAATGTCACTTCAGACAATTCTTTGTTTTTTAACAAGGTAGATTTTCTTTTGTGTCGAAACCAGCTAAATCCACTTGTGCTTCAAAACCTCTAAATCCACCTATTGGGACAAGACAGTGTAATTAGTTGAAAAATCACTAAAGATGCTAATTTAAAACACATACGAAAACCACCTACAATTTAAAACACACAAATGTGTCAAGTAAGTGGTGGTTCATTCAACGGTGGTAACCCCTGATAAAACAGGGACTAAGTAGAAGGAAAATGAATGAATGAAATCTGTAAAGTGTGTGCATTAATCAATAACATTAAAACTGACAATAATAAAATCTTTATATGTTGTCATTTCTGATATTTGGGATTTAGATTTAAAGTAGAGCAATGTAAACATTGTAAACCATTACATCCATTAATATAAAACCTTATCAGATATATAGGTAATATGAAGTAATATAAATAATGTATAGTTTAATACATTATATTTATTTCTAAAAAATAGCTTATGTTAGCAAATAAAACACAAGGTAGGTCTACTGGGCAAAAAGGGAATGTCTGATAATTTTAGAAACTGTCATTCATTCTCATCATATTGGAGGTCTTGGTCTCTTTTTCATCTCTTGTTGCCGTGTAATGTACAGTAAATCGGACTCATTCAAAGTAGCGTCGCTGCACAAAAAAAGTTTTATATGCATGTTACACGTCCGACTGTATATTGTGCTTTCTTTTTCTTTTAATGCACAGAGTTTTGAGGTAAGAGACGTTTTCATTTGCCATTCACTGACAGTCAGACAGGCTCATTCAATTCATCAAACTCCAGCTTTTAAAATCTAAATCAGAATAAAACAGTCTCCTCATAAAAGCCGGCGTGGTGTTTAGAGGCTTTTGCAAACAAACATTTCTGAATGTGCTAACGCTGAGATTTAAATGATTTGAAGCAAAACTGTTTGTTGATGGTGTAGTACGTGCCTAAAGCATTCACTCAATGTCATTAGTTCATTTTTGGCTGAAGTGACTGACGTTTAGCAGCTTTTGCATCTGAACTCTTTATATACAAATATATTAATAAAACATTACATTATCTAAGCACACACATGTAAACATCATCTATTTCATTAAATACATGTGTATTCATATGTGCATATCAATTATACACTGTGTTCACATAATTGAACAAAAAGAAACTTCTCAGCCCATTGACAGTGTACCTCTATAGCGCACAGGAGGAGTTGAAAGCCCGCTTTGTCGGTTCTGCTGGGTTGCTGGTTTAGAATCCTGCTGATCTGCATGAAGACAACAAAACAGATCTGTGACTATGTTCCATGCATCCTTAACCAAGTCATTTTTTTGCAAATGTGATTATCTGTAATATTCAGTTAGTATAAAGAGAGAGAAAACAATAACATTCTCATCATCATTCTGGGACCCCAGCAAACAATCTATAACAAAATTACTTTATTTTGCCAACCAGAAGCACCAACTCAACCTGCATTTCTCACCTAGCTTCGGCAGTTCAACACCCCATGCTTCTGCGACGTGTTGCAGCAGAAGGGATGATAGTTTCCGGTGAGCCACAGCATTCCAGTGGACACCATCACGAGTTCGATGCTGCAGGCTGAAACGAAACTGGTAATGGAGGTCCAGCACATCAAAGCCAGACTCATTGGCAAGTGTGGCTCCAAAGTAATTCGCTTCAATGACATCAAATCTTAACGATGGGCCCATGTGCTCTATCTGAGATTGGGAACAAGATATGAAAAAATATCATGGATTATAATCTTTGTTTTTTAATGAAGTTTAATCCTCTACCATTTTTAAACCCACCTCAGGAACCAAGAAACCTCCTAAGATCTTCCTGCCCAAAGGCATGGTCATATTCCATATCACCAGGCTCTCCTCAGGCAAAACACTCTTCAGCTTCATGAAGAGCTTTTTCAGGTTCTCCCTGTATTCCACAGCCCACTGTCGACTGTACCTGTGAAATGTAGTAAAATCTCGTTAAATCCACATGCTAAACACCGTATATCTGTAAGAGGCTGTAATGAGGAGCAGTCCCACCTGGAAATATCCCACACACAAGAGTTCACCACCACCAGGTCTGGCTTTATTCCCTTCTCAAAGTCAGAGATGATGCTCTCCACATACTGCGAGAACGTCCGGGTAATGAAGTAAAAGCGGACCAAGTGGTGGTCCGTTCTGTATTGTCTAACTTCTCTGTATTGTGTCCCATTATTCATCTCCCCCAGTCTGCCTCCTTCCACCAAGGTGTCATTTTCAAATGAGAATTCACCCTGGGAAATAGGGAAAGAACAGATATCAGACCGTGCTTATACCGGGAAAAGAAAAAAATTCTGTCCTTAATCCTAAACATACACAGCAGCTTGTTTCCACATTTATATGTTTGGTTTAATAAATTACATGAAATAAAAATAAAACAAAAACTGATGATGTTAATTCTTTTGAATAAACTGCTTTTGTATAAAGGTTATTACAGCTTTTCAGTTTTCATTTTGCTGTAAATTTCAGTTTAGTTAACTATATTAATGAATACTTTTTAGTTTAGTTTTTATGTTGTGAACATATTTCTATTTAGTTTTTACATATTTAGTTTAAATTTAGTCATTCTAGTTCAGCTGAACACATTCAGTGTAAAGCAAGGCAGTGTTGAATGTTCACACAGCTTAGATAAACTCTTATGCAAACCCTTTGGCAACAAAAATAATTGTTTAAACAAACACTGACCCAAAACCATACAAATGCAGCTTAAACAAGTCATTTTACAGGTAAACATTAGGAAGAATCAAGACAAACCTGAGCATTTAAAGGCATGTACTTAAAAGGATTGTTCACCCAAAAATTGTGTCACTATTTACTCTCCCTCAAGTGCTTTAAAAGCTTTATGAGTTTCTTCTCCTGAATACAAACGAAAACAATTTGAAGAAAGCTGAAAACCTGTAACCACTGATTTCCATAGCAGGAAAAACAAATGCTATGGAAATTAATAGTTACTAGTTTCCAACATTTTTCTAAATATCTTTTTTAGTGTTCAGCAGAATAAAGAAATAAAGGTTTTGAAAAGGTAAAGGGTAAGCAAATCACAATTTTTATGTTAGGTGAACTATCCCTTTAAACATGCAGTTACATTTCATAGATTAAAATAAACAACACTTGTTTGATGTTTTTGTATATAATCATGCACTTGAGTGACATGTTTGAAACAAGTGCCATCTACAGATTTTTCTCTGAACACCCCCAGGTCAGAATTTCCACCACAGAATAAGTGCTCATTGAAGAGATAGTTCTGATATAATTTAAACATCCTTTACTTTTTCTTAACCTTTTTGACTTTCTTCAATAGAATAAATCAATTCAAAATTTGAAATCACTTGAGGGTGAGTAAATGGGGAGTAAATTGCCATTTTGGGGTATGCTATCCCATTAAATCTGAAAACAAGTACTAATTTGGCTATTATTTAATATCAGGTAGCTTCACTTAGTTTTCATTCATGAGCTACCATGATCTTAAACTTATGACAATTATCCACGATTTTATTATAGTAAAACTGCAGCAATAGTTTTGGGTGCATTGATTGAAGTTTATGTAACCACCATTTTACTAATTTTTACTTGAAAATTATAGGTGATATATGCATATTATACATAGTTCGTCAAGATAAGTTCAAGTTTAGATAAAAAAATAAATAAATTTGTAGTTTTAAACATTTTGTTTCAGTGTATTTTTGTACACTGCAAAAAAAAATTATTTTCTTATTTATATCTTTTTGTCTTGCTTCCAGTCCACATATCTAAAGATTCTAAAATCAAGAAGCATTTTTTAGACAAATAAAACATATTGTCTTGTTTTAAGAAGTAATACAAAGAAATAAAAAAGTATTTTTTTCCTTAAAACAAGCACAATAATCTGCCAATGAAGTAAGATAAAAAATCTTTTGTCAAAAGGAAAAACAAGATTATTTTGCTCAGTCCATTGGCAGATTATTTTACCTTTTTTAAGGAAACCCTTAATCACATTGGCATAACGTTACTATTTCTGAAAACTAGACAGTATGTTTTGCTTCCCTAGAAAATATCTCTTAATATAAGGATTTTTTTTTATAGATATTTTAGACTAGAAACAAGACAAAAAAATCTAAATCAGAAAAGCATCTCAGACTGGATTTACCAGCAAAACAGACCAATTTACCTACTTTAAAAGATCGAAATTAAGTTTCTTTAACTGTGTACATTGAATGATTTATAAAACGAGATATTCCCAACAAACATTTAGTGTTTACTGACCTTGCTTTTGAGCTGGGATGCACTTAAATGCGAGTCCTTCTGCAATATTAGGACCAAGTCTTTGTATACAGCCCGCTGAACTGGAGGTAAGTAGGCCCATTAGAAACTTGTGCAAATTTCAGGAAGGCCTGGTGATTACTTACAAAATTGACTTCACAAAATATAAATCTTTGCCAGTACTCACTTGAATCTCCTAAAACCACCACAAACTTGTTGTGAAGGAGCTGTTGCACGGTCTTCATAGTGAAGTTACCTGCCTTACATTGAAATCAGAGCAATTAAGTCAGGCCCAATTGAAAAAAAAAACACGCGTGAAAAGATACGCGATGTTCTCATGTCTTTTACGTCAAATATTTTTCAAAAAATGCTACAAAAAAACTTACGTGCCAAAAGAACAACACTGTAAATACGATTTATTAGGAGCAAGATGGAGAGTCGTCAATTTTTGAAGAGCTGTAAAGAAAAGTGAGGTAATGCTCCCCTAGCGGTTAATCTGGAATTAAACATGCTATTTTGATTGAATTGTTTTATACCGCGATTCCTCTGACTTGCAGCTCCATAAAAGCAAAGATAAAAGTAAAAATGTATAAAAAAATATATATTTATTTAAAATAAAATATGTTAATTAATAATAAAACTTATTCATTCATTCATTCATTTTCCTTTGGTTTAGTCCCTTTATTCATCAAGGCCCGGTTTTTCAAAAGGTTAAATACGGATAAAATTGATCCGGATTTAGTAATCCTGTTTTTTGCGATCCGTGATCACGTAATCCAGCTTACTTTTTGAGCCAGTTTTTCAAAGCAACATTAGATTGGATCAATCTGATCCGGTTAGGAACTTTTCAAGATCACTAAATCTGGATTACCAGTGCTCAATCGATGTAGAATAGATGAATAGATAGGCCTATGTAAAGAGCAAGTAGAATAGCCAGAGTGGGGTAAATTTACTTTTATTTTGATTTGAAATGAAAACTAAGAAAATTTTATAAATAATAAAATAATTATAATAATAAATAATAAAAGCAACAAAAAAAAAACACCCTATCCTCTTCTGGCAGTCCGCTCATCTGAGATCTGCAACACTGTACTTTGAGGATATCTATAATAAGTTTAAAATATAGATGTATTGAATAAAAAAAAGACAATGTTGAAACCTCCACAATAATGTCAGACTTCCTCATCTGATGTGGAGGGAGCAGCTTGTCTGAGCGTAATCTTTAGGAGGCAGATCTCAAGTGTGGTCTTGGTTTGCTGCAGTTTGGTCAGAGTCAGCTGTTCCTTTGCCAGATAAAGCTGAGCTTCTGCCCAGTCTCTTTTTGCAATTATTGAAAGTGATTTTAAAAATCAGGCATTGCCATTCTTTGCATTTTATTTTTATTCTGTAATCATTGCATGCATCACTAATAAATATTCTAAACACAAAAATATTTTCCATTGTGATGAATATATATATATATATATATATATATATATATATATATATATATATATCAGTTAGTAACAGAATAAAATGTATTGTTTTTGGTAAATTTTGACAGCTGTTTGGGGGATTGTTTTATGAAGCCAAACTCTTTCTATTTTGCTGTAGGCCTATACTGAAAGGCTAAATACGTTAAAGCCAATAATCACTATAGCCTGACAGATGAACAAATAAAATGAAAACCTTATGAATAAATAATATATCTCGTAAGATACTGCATGATCCAAATATAGTTTTATTTAATAATTTTTTAAAGTTTTCATTACATTTTGGACATGAAATCAACGCTAAATCCACCCTTCTGATGGGATCAGTTTAATCCAAGTTTTTTGGATCAAAGTGATCCAAATCCTCCAAAAAAGGGTCTGAAAAACCCAAACTAAAGGTTTGATCTGGATCAAAACCAAGATTGGATTACGTGATCTAATCCAATTTTGTAATCCATTTTTTTTTCTTTTGTAAAAACTCATTTTCAACATTTGATCTAATCTGTTATCCAAAATCCTAGTGGATTACTTTTGAAAAACCGGGCCCAGGGGTCGCAACAGCAAAATGAACCGCAGCGGATGCCCTTCCAGCTGCAACCCAGTACTAGGTAAAATCCATAAACACTCATACACATACACTATGGCCAAGTAATATTCATTCATTTTCCTTTGCCTTAGTCCCTTTATTGATCAGGGGTCTCCACAGTGGATCGAACCTCAAACTTATCCAGCATATGCTTTACACAGCGAATGCCGTTACAGCTGCAACCCAGTACTTGGAAACACCCATTCACACTCCTTCCCAACACCCAATTTAGCTTATTCGACCACCACTTAGCAAGCTACAGTGCTAACCACTGAGCCACCATGTTGCCCTCATTAATAATGTTTGGATCAAATTATAAATGATTTAGATCACAGGTGTCAAACTCAGTTCCAAAAGGGCCGCAGCTCTGCACAGTTTAGTTCCAACCCTAATTAAACACACCTCATCAAACTAATTGAGTCCTTCAGGCTTGTTTGAAACCTTCAGGTAAATGTGTTGGAGCAGGGTTGGAACTAAACTGTGCAGGGCTTCGGCCCTCCAGGAATTGAGTTTGACACCCCTGATTTAGATGGTTGTGGTATGATCCAAAATTTTCTATAAAGATAAGTTTTATTAAAATATGCCATGGTTAGCACAAGTGAAAGGCAAAATTTAGATTAAATGCAAAAGTGCATTATTTTTTTAAAAGTTTGTTACCTTTAAAGTCTGAACTGTTTATTTTATTCAGATTTTTTAAATGCATGCAAAGTTTCTGCTATTCCCTTTATTAACCTTTTATTTAATCATTGCCTTTTCATTCCATTTTCATGACCAAACAATACAAAAATAATCAATGAACTCTTAGCACAATTTTCTCATATAAATATATATACAGTATATAATGCCTCAGGAAAAATCATTTTGTGTTGTTTGCAAAGTTGTACATGCAACTAACTCAAACATTTATTTACAAATCAATTACAAAACCACACATATACTTATAATTTAAAGTTGAAGTAACCAAAAAACAATTCATGATTTGATATAATGCCAGTCTGAGGAAATCTGTTGTTGAGTGTTAAGGTAAAGTGCTTTAATATTGAGGTCTGTTTACGGTCTGATTGCCTGGTCTGTGATCAGCCTCTAACCTCAAGGCTAAATAGAGTCACATATGGCTTCAGTCGGTCAGTCACAAATTCATCGTTGCGAGGCAGCTTCTTCATGAACTCTCGAATGGCTTTCACTGATTCCTTAAATCCCCATGTCTTAACAACTAGATTCGCCACCTCACATCTGTCCTCCTCCTTTTCAAGTCTCATTGAAGGAATAGGAGTCCTTTTGCTAGTTTGACGCATTAAATTCTTGAGCTTCTTGAAATCATCCATTTTAAGATCCTCCATGATTTCACCAAGATCGGATATCCATTTATTTTCTAGACAAATGATTATCACAAATGTTAAATTCTCCAATGAACTTCAGAAAAAAATCTGTATGCTTAAGTGAAATATTGTTGTACCTCCAAGGATTGAATGTTCTTCAGCTGTCGAGTGTGTGTTTTTATCTAAGGTTACACAAGAAAATGTTTTAACTTTAAATGCTATTTACAGTGTGCAAAGAACAAACAACAACTAAATCTTACTTACTTGTGCTTTTCTTGAGAGTTATCCAGCGGTTCCATGCAGTTTTAAAGGTAATCTTATTGCTTTCTTTCATTTTACGCTGAATTTTAATTCGGAGTTCAGTAACATCTTTATCAAAAAAGACCTCAAATGCAGGATGGTAATTACCAGCATGCAAGAGTTCAAATACTTTTCCCTAAAGAACATTTTCTAAGGTTAGCGAAATACACATTTTTCATATTCTATATACTGGACACTGTATATAACTCAGATTCTCTTCTGAAACAAACATATTTTACCTACTAGATGGAGATACAAATGTCAGAGACGAACAATCTCTAAATTTAGTTACCTTTGGTTGGACTCTTGTGGCTTTTTTAGAGATCAGTGTGTACTTTGCATTTTTCTTTAGTTTTCAGTCAGAGGTGGTCTGGATATACACATACTCTTGTTGTTGAGCTTTTATCTGTTGATCAAACAAGAAGATGTGGGTGTTTATTACAATTTAAATACAAACACAAGAAGTACAAATTAAATGAGGTCTGACCTCTGAGAGTGGTACGTTTCCTGGCAATAGGAAAACCCACAGTCTTTGCAGTGCTTCTGACAAATCAGGTTCATGAAACAGGAGCACTTGTCCACGGATGCTTCTGCTTTGTTCATCATTCTCATACACAGTGCCATAGGTAGATAAGCCAGAGATATTTACAGCTACATGCGTTTTTGAAATTTTAAATGGAGAGAGGAACTCCCGAGAGTCCTTGTTGTGCATATGAATCACTGAAATATTTCCTATTGCATCAACTGTAGACAAAGAAAAAGACACAAGAACAAAATTTGTTACTATATCAAGGCTGTGAAAACATATTTACAGTAAACAATAAACATCACTAAACCAATACAGTATATGCGTCTTTTTGATGAGATGTTAAACTGAGTTCATGACTCTCTGTGGTCATTAAAAATCCCATGGCACTTCTCGTAAACAGTGTCTTGGCCAAACTCCCTTGATTGGCCCTTACCCATCATGGCATCCCAATCATCTCCATTTACCAAATTGGCTTCATCACCGTCTCTCCACTCTTCCTATAGCTGGTGTGTGGTGAGCACACTGGCGCTGTTGTCCTGTGGCTGTGGTCGCATCATCCAAATGCATGCTGCACAGTGGCGGTGGTATGAAGAGCTTTGGGTGTATCGCCATACACAATAAATGCGCTATATAAATACATTCATTACATTTTACTTTACATTAAATAGATAAATTTATGACCAACTAAACCCACCTTAATTGTCTAATTTAAGTGGAAATCAAACTTTAAGGAAACAATTTAGAGGTTTTTAAATTATTTGTTTGACAACAGTTCTTATCTAGTATCTAGTATTTTTTAACCAAGTCGAAAGACAATGCAAAGTTTTAACAAGCTCAAATTGTGAAGAAAGGCTTCTTTTCCTTATTTTACCCATGAATTTACCACAAACTAAAACTATATTATAACCTGACTATATACAGCTGAAACATGAAGACAGGACAGGACATCTTGCAGTCCCTCCCTTGTTCAAAAAACAGCTAAAAGCATTTCGTTTTTATCAGCTCTGCTAGTGAGAGCAATTGAGCTTAAGCGCATCGAAATGAAAAGCAAATAAGAAGTGTCTTGCATGGGGGTGGCTGGGTCATGTCAAAAACGAGAGTTGGTCAGAAGATTTGATGAGAAACTAAAGTATGAGGTGATCATTGATCCATTTGAGCAGAAGTGACAAACTGCAAGCTTTGGTTTATATTTTTTAATGTGAATTTTGTTACTGTTTTGGGTACACTAGCTTATACTGTAGATATCCTTAAGACTAAGGGCCCTATCATACACCTGGCGCAATGTGGCGCAATGTGGCGCAAGGCGCGGCACAATAGTCTTTTGCTAGTTTTAGCTTGGCGCAAGAGTCGTTTTGAGGTGTTGCGCTACGCTGATTGAATAGTAAATGCATTAGCGCTCATATGTGCGCCCATAGGTGTTTTGGTCTAAAATGTAAGGCGTTCTGAGGCGCACTGCTGGCGCGTTGCTATTTTGAGAAACTAAAATAGATTTTTCATTAGACCTAAACAAACCCGGTCTAAACTCCAGCGCTAAGTTGCGCCTCGCTTACACACTGCTTAATATGCACAAGAGAGCAATAGGCAAATATCTTTACATATGAAAAAATGTAAATATTAAGGATATATATAGGATATAATAAGAATAGATATAGGATATAAATACAAAGGATTAAAATATTACAAAACATAGCCTACATAAATATGAAAAATCACTGCTTTTATGTCTTCTTCATCTCGGGAGGCTTTTACAGTTCATTCATAACCATTCGCTTTTGTATAATGTTATTAATATTAGCAGCATTATTTATTATATCCATATTTAGATTTTTTTATTAAAACAAGCTTAGATTTGCCCACCTGTCAGGTTTTAGACCATATGGGGCACAGCATGTGTTTTAGGGTATAACTCAGGTTTTTGAACACACTTCGTTATTATTGTTCATTTATTCGTTTGCTGCAAATTAGAACTGAATTTAGAAACAGTTTTGAAATGAATATTTGCGCTTAAAAAAACGCAATTAATTATTTATAGACTAATTGATGTCTGTGCGTAAAGGTTTCTATATCCAAGAGCGAAAGTGAAAGTAGATCCATTATCTCTCATTCCCTTGCAGTAGATGCTCTGTTTAACAGTTTTCTGTTAAAGAAACTGTTAACTGTTTGCTAGTGAAATGCTCAGTTTTTCCACTTAGACTTACTTTACATCCTGTAAATAGCGAATGTGCTTATGGCGCGACGCAGCTGGCTCTTAAAGGGAATGGGAACTGAGACTCTAATTGGTTTATCCTCAAAACACACCTATAACTCATTAAAAAAATGAACTCAACCCTTTTAGACCATGCGCCACGGCGCAAAGCGGATTTTCCCATCCTTAAATTAGCAAAAATGCGTTCTGACACGCCCTGAAAGCGTCAAAATAGAGCCCTAACATACTGATACTAACATCTAAAAATCTGTATTTTAATTTCGAGGGAGCTTTATAAAAGTGTTATTTTTACATTTTATAATTTTTTTCAATACAGGTTTTGTATTTACTGCCAATGTAACTAGTGTTGTCATTTACCATGTGTTTCACAGTGTGGGAGATGAAGTTCATAGATTTCTCCTGCAGGGGTTTTGATATCAAACAGAGGTCCGGCAGGCTCATAGCGAGTGTTGATGAGGTGATAGGGATCCCAGTGAACTACACTGTACTCTACACATCCACTGCTTTTCATTCCAAACACAAGTCCAGTTGCGCCGCACATGAAAAAGCCTTCTGATTCACACTGAAACCTACAATACAAATTAAGGAGATTTTAAGAAAGTATTATATACCAAAATATATTTTAAATTATGAATTTGAAATTCATTCATTCATTTTCTTGTCGGCTTAGTCCCTTTATTAATTCGGGGTCGCCACAGCGGAATGAACCGCCAACTTATCCAGCAAGTTTTTTACGCAGCGGATGCCCTTCCAGCCGCAACCCATCTCTGGGAAACATCCACACACACACACTCATACACTATGGACGATTTAGCCAACCCAATTCACCTGTACCGCATGTCTTTGGACTGTGGGGGAAACCGGAGCACCCGGAGGAAACCCAAGCGAAGGCAGGGAGAACATGCAAACTCCACACAGAAACGCCAACTGAGCCGAGGTTCGAACCAGCGACCCAGTGACCTTCCTGCTGTGAGGCGACAGCACTACCTACTGCGCCACTGCCTCGCCTGAATTTGAAATTATGAATATAAAAAAAAGACATTCTTTACTCACCTATAGGAAATCTCGCCATTAATTACAGCTATTTCAGGTTCAAACTCCTTTACAGTATCTTCCCTCTATGAAGTAAGAGATTTAAAAATGTTTTCAAATGTTTTACTACACATTTCAAGAATAACACAACTTTTGCAAGTTGTTAACTGATTACTCATGGTAGGCACTGAAAAACGACTACATTTTACAAAGAAACAGTTTTGCTCATTCATTTTTTTCACATCAAAGTTTGTTTATTCTCAAATATTAATGTTGCCCTCATCAGAACTGTATTGAATTAGCATGACCTGAAGATTTCAGTTTTTTCTGCACTCTAATGTCTACTTTTACTATTCAAATTTCATAGAAAAGAAAAAGATGTGGAAAAAAGGCAAAGATAAATGGCAGCAAGAAAACCTACCAGTACAACGTCCTTGTTATGTCAGTAACCCATGATCCCTAAAGGAGGGAATGGAGACATGCGTCTAGGAGAGACACTAATGGGAGTATGCTAAACAAGTCAGAAAACGGGTCAATGAATGTCTATGAGCTCCGCTGGTGCTGGAGTCATTAGGAGAGTGCTTTAGAAATTTAGCTACTGTTGAAGGCTACAGTCCTTGCTGAGTGCACTCACTCCCGGGTGACACTCACTCCCGGGCGACTCGGTCAACCACTGTTTTGGTATGACACCTCCCTTCTGCTGACCACCATAACAGACAAAGAGCTGCTCAGAAGATCTTACGTTCTGAGTGCGGTCCACATAACAGCGCAGAGCGCATACAAGACAGCATGGAAGGAACTGGATGAGGAACCGGATGATTAGATTATGCTTCCCAGGTGTGCTGCCATCCACTGCATCATAGTGAGCGAAGATGGCAGCAACTAAACCTTCAGTGTGGAGGGTGACAGCCTAGGCTCCAACCTATTCTGAAGGAAAGATAACACAATGCTAATCTGGCAAGCTCGGTTGGGCCAGAGAAGCAAACTACAAAAACAAACAAAAAACAAACAAAGAAACTAAAAAAAACATGCTCACTGGGGGAAATCCATATTTTTGCATGTCCGAGGGCCAACAGTGAGCCAGCACATCCGTGCTGAAGGGGGCCTTGGTCAAGGAATAAAACAACAGGCAATGGATGTTTTTTTTGAGTAGCCAACAGGTCTACCTGGGCTTCCCTGAAGCTCTCCCATATCAGCTGAACCAAATTGGGGTGGAGTCTCCATTCTCCCGGTAATGTAAGCTGGCGTGAGAGCACATCAACTGCATGGTTGAGCTAGCCTGGAATATGAATTGCGTGCAGCGATTTCATCAGCATCTGACTCCAGAGAAGCAGATGGCAAGCGAGCGGAAACATGCAACGGGAGCGTATACCCCCCATGTGGTTAATATACGACAACGTTGTCGTGCTGTCCGTCCTGACCAGCACGTGTTGCCACTCCAGCATCGGTCGGAACCGGTGGAGAGCAAGGAACACTACCAACAGCTCCAGGCAATTGATATGCCAATGCAACTGGGATCTGGTCCATGAACCCACAGCTACATGGTCATTGCAGATGGCTCCCCAGCCCGTGCTGGAAGCATCTGTGGTGACGACAACATGCTTAGACACTTGTTCTAAGGGCACCCCAGCCCATAGAAAAGCAAGGTCCCTCCAAGCACTGAAGGTGCGGCAACAGAGTGGTGTGTTGATCACACGGTATGTCCTCACGCGTCATGGCCATCTGAGGACCAGATCATGAAGCCAATGATAAAGTGGTCTTATATGAAGCAATAAGAGCAGCATGACAGCGGCTGCAGATGCCATATGCCCCAGAAGCCTCTGAAATTATTCTAGCTCAGTTGTGGGATAGCTTCATACCCCCTGGCTGCTCCACCATCAGAGAAATCTGCCCTTTACGCCTGCGTGAGCTCATCAGCACCTCCCGGGAGAAGGGGATGGGGGTCTTAGAGGGTCTGGCCCTCTTGTTAGGTACCATATAGCACCTATCTAGTCGGTCCAGTGGTGGGGCTGGGATGGCTTTCACCTCCAGTCCCACTGTCGAAGCAGCCCAGAAAAGCACAGTCATCATGTTCAATCCGAAGTCCCGAGCTTTGCTTACCAGCCCAGAAGGAGGAAGCTGATCTAAACTGTCAACAGAACATGACAGCACACCCTACGATGTCGCGATGGACATCTGGTCCCCGGTGTCATCAAGTGAGAGTGCAGCCATTTCAGAGGATGAACCATCACACTCTCCTGAAGCCTGGATGAAGTGCACTGTGGAGAAGCGAGGGATCCACTAGCCTGAAGGCGACAGATTAGCCCCCATTGTAATCCTCATGCCTGCCTGAGTGTTAACCGGCTTGCAGAGAACAGCAGAGGTGGTCCCTTTTGCAGTTGTGGACATGTCCTTGCAGTGAAGGCATGAGCTGTCCGCGAACACCGCTTCAATATGCTGGACCCCCAAACATGTGACTCAATACAAGTGCCTATCATCCGGGGAGAGGAAGCTGTGTCCTCGCTGCAACCAGTAGCATGATGACATACTCGATCAGGTCCAATACATAATGGACGTGTATGCGTGAGCAGTTGTGGGTAGAAATGAGAATTATTTATATTAATTAATAAATTACCAATTACATTGTGTGTTATTGTTACGACTGAAGTTTATTTATTTATTTATTATTGCCAATTGCATGCCTTTTTCTTTGTCCCGCCTTCTTGTTGTTTTTCTGTTATTCCATAGGCTCCCATACTGGCGTGACCTTGAGTTCTGATTGGCTGCTGGAGGCATGTATAAGAAGGAGCTTCCGGTAGGGTTCGGGGAGCTAATTTCTGCTGCGTTCGGTGTTTGGAGTGGAGCTCCTGGGTTTCCCTCACCCCTCCGGCCGACGACCAACAACCAATATTGTACTGATGTTCCTCATACGTTAAAATATTTTGAGAATTTGAGCGTGTAGGGATGGCCTGCCTATTTATTTGATTACTTTTGACTATGTTTATGTTTAGGGAGTAAGGTAAACTTTTTGTATTTTTCTTTAAATAGTAATAGGTAATTTAGTGTATTTACTTTATAGATTCTTTTGTTTGTTATTTTGGCCTGTGGTCACCCTGAAGAGATGCTTATTTATATTAACCACATTTTTCTATAATAAATCTATTCATATATACCCTCAACTGAGTGTGTGAGTTTGGTTGTCGACCGAAGGGTCGGTTGTTTGGGAAATCCACCACCCCAACACATTTGTTTTTCTTCGTTTATTATGACATTGTTGTTTCCCCTAGACTCGGGGCGTAATAGTTATGAACATCTACACCTACCCCGACCCTAAACCCAACTGTCACAGCAGCATGGGTCTTACATTGCCCAATTGCCCAGTATTGGATCTGATCTAGTAGCTCATCGTGCTACAGATTGCAGCAAGGACATCTTGAGTCAGTCAATCAATTCATAATGCTGTTCAAAATATCTAACAGCCAACACAAGTGAAATATAAACACAACAAATTACATGTCTTCCTTCCTCTTTGTTTACCTGAACAAAAGCTGTCATTGATTTTTCGGTTTTGCTGTTTGATTGCAAATCTTTTGTAATGTACTTCTGAGAGCATCTCGTACTAGCCGGTTGGGTTTCAAAGCGTGATTCTTCCATCAGGAGGCCAATCTCTGTTATGTGATTGTCACAAAGGCTGTGCACATGAATAAACAAATATTAATTAGCAAGTTGATTTTGTGCATTGTGATTTTGTCTTTAATCTTTGAACTTTAAAATAAAACTGAAAAACTAATATGTTCTCCTAGGCTTTTAACATATCTTAGGATGTCTTATTAATCCCCCTTTACACTGAGCTCTATTTTATATTTCTCTGCAATATTTTAATTTGTGTTTATTTCATATGTTGATGTTAGGTGTTCTTTCAATAAAAGTGGAATAGAGTTAATTAAACTATAACACCATAATTACCATATTGCCTTTGTGAAATGGTTCACATCTAAGGCTGTGCGTAGTCTCAGTACACCTTTGTCAGTTATGTAATTTCCTGTAAAACTGAAAAAAACAAGCAAAAAAACTGTGGTTAACACATCAGTAATGTCAAAATAAAAACAAATAAACAAATACAATTAGCAGCTTTTTTAAAAACAGCCTGGTCATTTTTCTTATTTCTGATTATATACTCACTCTAATGTCAGTATTTTGTGAAGGTGAGGGAGGAAAAGGTCTAAGCATGCATCTGTAATCTGGCAATGGCTGAGATTGAGATGTGTAAGATCCTCTGTGTAATCCAGGACTAACTGCAGAGACTCACAGGTACGGTAATTAAGAGGAGTGTCACTGAGGTCCAGCTCTTTTCCAAGTGCTTTGGAAAGTGAAGATGCCCATTTCAAAGACATAGCCATGGGGGCATTGGAAATTAATGTCACAAGCTGACAGAGAAGGCTTTTGCCCAAGCTGTTGAGAGACATTTTTGCAACAGTAAAAATGAGCCTTCTATGAAACTAAAGCACAAACTATTACTATCATTTATGTAAATATATTTGATGACTCACCGAAGATGCACTTTGTGTAGAACAGGGAATAGAGTCTCAAGTGCAGAATCCTCTGCTTGGCAGTCATATAAAATTAATTCTGTCTCAAATGTTGATGTTTCAATAGCAGAAGTAATGGCTTCACAATCCATATAACACAGAGTTAGAAGATCCTCTTTCTCCTGAGCAAAACCACTGTCGAGGGAAGAACTGAAGGAGAAGTCCAGCTTGTTGTTCAGAGCGGTCAAGAGGGCATGTCCTTGTTTCCACATGTTCTTAGACATGTGAAGAAAGTTCAACAACAGTTTTCTATCAACCCTAGTCAAATGAAGTACAAATAGCGGGTTTAGCAGTGGCTGAAATGCAAAAGTGAGCATTTTTGAGCAAAAAATAAATATTTTGAGCTACTTACCTCAGTTCTGAAACTCTGTGCATGAGTTTAACAATGCTGTCAGTCTCATTATTTGGAATGACAGAGTTCAAGAGGTTGAGCTTAACTCCATCACTATAGTGCAGGGCAAAGCAGAGGGCTTTGCAATCAGCTGAATCCAGCTCTCTCATGCAGAGGTTAATCAGGTTAGCTGAAGATTGGACTAATTTCACAATCAGATGACCTGCTCGTTCTTCATATATCTCTTTCAGTGCAGCCCTGACCATCAGTGGACTTATGCTGTTTAATCAAGAAAGAAATTCAATAGAATTACTTTTTTATAATCAAATACTGTATCTAACTGTATGAGTCTTACCTTTTAAAACAAACTTTGTCCAGTACAGGAAGAAGACGTGGAATGTTTAGAACATTAAATCTGTCTTCTGAAAGGTCTATTGTCACTTTTTTTTTGGCGACCTGAATTAGACAAGATAACACATCCCAGGACAAACAACAAGGTGACAAATCGCCATCAATTTTCTCCAGGAACAACTGTGTAAGGTTTTCATCTTGAGCGTCACACACAACTTCTGCTAACTGTTGCAGCGTGTCTTCATGAAATCTGTTGTCACAGAATTATTGTAAATAAAACACATTTATTAAATTGATAGAGTAAATGAACACTTCAAATAGACGTTAAGAAAAGTAAGACGTTTACACTACAAAATATATGCCTTTAGCATTTAGTAGACTAAAGGTAACTAAACACTTACCTAATGGATAGGGGACTCTGATGACACAGCAGACAAATGAACATGTGAGGCTCAATTTGACACTCTGAAAGGTTCAAGCTGTGGACTGTCCAGACTCTAAGAAGGGAAGTCAGACTGCTTAATAGCTGACAAAGTTCTCTTTTTTGCAAATTACAGTCCGACAAAACCACAGACAGTTCTTCCACAGTTATAGGGTGCATTTCTTTGTCTGACCTGGCCAGTCTTGTCAACTTTGAAGCTGCAATTTCATTTACTCTGAAAAAAAGAAGAAAAGGAACATGATTACTTCAACTTGTGGCTCAAGTAAAACTGAAATTATGCAACGAATCTCCATCACAAAAACCTTTACCTCAAGGTTTTAAGCTTTCTCACTTTTGAAAAGAGGTAGGCACAACCTTGATAAGAGATCTTTTGAGGGAGAAGATTGAGAGAGATGCAGTCTTTTTCCAGCTGTTCAAAAACACTTCCAACAGCTTTGCAGAGGTGACTTGACAGCATGCCAATCAACGATATGCTAAAACCAAGGGATCTCAAAAGCTCAGCAATCTGTTTTGGATTCCACTCACTGTCAGTTAAAAGGACCTCACAAACGGTCTGGAAAAACTGCTCATCACAGCTGTAGAGAGATAATGAGTTGTATTTACTATAACATTAAGCAAGACACCATATAAACAAACCAACAAAATGCAATAAAGAATTTGCCATATCTTACTTTTTTCTTCTGTCATTGTTTCACAGAAGTACAAATCTTACAGGTTTGGAAAGGCATGAGAGTAATTCATCATAACAGAATGAACTATTTTTGTGTCAACAGGCTACAGATGCTTCTTGTGATCTGCAATTCTGTGGGCTTCTGGATTTTGTCATAACTGCTTCTTATTGGTTTGTACCTCTAGCTTTGAATCAATTAACAAGGAAGTCAGAATCAACTAACAATTGATTCATCTAGCTTCATCTAGCTTCTGTTGTTCTTCTCATATGAACAACATTCTAAATAATTACTGTTTCTCTCTATTAGTGCATATCTGTGATGAGGGATTCATACAGGAAAATAGTCAGGCTTGCAAAGATTTCAGAATTAGAAACATGCACCCAAACTTTAATTGAGGGTAGCCAGGACTTTAGATAAGGCTTTGGATGCAGAGCCCCTGCAGAAAGGTGATTGGGTGACTGTCAGAAGGCATAGTTGCACAGAAAACACAGCATGTCTGTTCCAATAATCAACACCTTTTCCAAGATGGACACTCATCATGCTCAAGGCTACTGATAAGTAAATTGTCTACTGATAGCTAAATTGCCTCATCTTTTATTTGAGCAAATAAGAACTGGTCTCTTTACTGGACGTGGTTTCTCCCAAGATATTTTCCAACACACACATTGGAAATACATTTTAGTCTACATTTTTGTAAAACTGAAAAAAGTTTGACTGCAGTTTCACAGTAAAATTAACCTGTAGTATGATGCATGGTTCCACTAAAGAGGTAAAAGTAATGTAAAATCAAGGTAAAACTACATTGTCACTATGCACTTTTCTCTTTGCTGGTTTGGTTTGAGTCAGTGGTTCAAAAGGAAATGTTTACACAAGCTTGATTTACAATAATAAAGCTTTGCATCTAATTTTTATTATAGTATGTTCATCCCTGTAAAACTGCTTTGACAATCTGATTTGTATAAAGCACCTCAAAAATAAAGGTGACTTGGCTTATCCCGTTAGTGACAAAGAAAATATGTTAAGCATGTAAATTTTAACTTAGCAAGTCAACTCACCGAAATTCTGAAACATAGGGTAAACAATTTAGGAAAAACCTAAGCTTTTCTTTTTTGCATGATCCACTCATAAGCTCTACAGGTTTTCGAAGGGCCTGAAGCTTTAGAAGTTCAGTAAAAACAGATGTCTTCTCTAGTTTTAGTAGGTCCACTGTCCATACAGAAGGGGCAACATTTAGAATAGGTTTCAGTACTAGTAGTACTGTCTGCCATGATGAACGTTCCTTCAGCTGGCTGAAGAGACCTAAAAAGAAAATGCTCTGCAAAATTTTGCTTTCTCCGGAAAATGGAAAGTTTGAGTAACTGCATGCTGTAGAAAGCCTTTTCAGTTCCTTCTCTCCACATTCAGATGCAAGAATGAAAAGATCAGCCACAGTCTTCACAATTTTGTGGATATCATCAGATTGTCTGAGAGCAGCACTGAACCTGCAATAATTAAAAAAAAAAAAGCTGTTTTAAAATTTGTTTAGCTGAACTCGTGGACCAAAATTAATACTCATGGATCCTTACATGGATCCACGGCTACTGTTTAATATTTGGTTATCCACCTTCTGAAACCTTTGTTTCACAGAAGACAGAATTTCAATTTCTTTTCAAGTTTAGGACAAGTGGAGTTAAAGTAAAATGATGATATATCTCTTTAAATGAAAGTATACATATTTTAACAAACTATCCCTAAAAATAGTATCACAATATATTTAAAAAAATGTATATTTACTGACCTAATTTCTGTAATGTAGGGAATACACTGTAGAAATAGTTTAAGTTCACTTAGCGGATACGTGGCATGATCTAGTTCGGCAGGCTTCTTTAAATTTAGAACTTTCATGGTTTGGAGGAGCAGTGACAATGACGGGGTTGAAGGATGTACAACCCATGTGGGTGGCATTGCATAGAAAACAGGTTGCAATAATGAGAGAACATCCAAGTTCTTCACATCTTCATAAAGTGTCAGCAAAATTCTACAAAGTTCCTCAAAGTTTTCTCTTGGATTTTTGCTGAAAACTGACAGCAGATTCCTTACACATCGATGACCTGTTTCCATCTCATGAACAGCTCCTTGAAGATAGAGCTTTGTTTCTACAGCTACTTGAAATTGCTGAGGAAAAATCCTATAAAAAATACAGAATACTTATTGACAAAAGCAATGATTTAAATGGTTGAACAAAATGAAATGTGAACAGGTTGTACCTAATGGTTGCAATATTGGGTAAACTCTCAAAAATGGCCATCTGCAACGGTCTTGTAATGAATTTTTCCTTTACGTGCAGAAAAAGATGAACACTGTTTGATCTTTTCTTTTTAAGCACTTCTCCTATCCTTTGAAACACTTTCTGATTTAGTATTTCATGTATGCAAAGGTGCATTTCAAAGCTGAATGATCTAAGCAGGCTATCAAAATCTGAAAACTGTTCTGCTTCAAGAGCCACTCTCCACATCTGAGATTGCAACCTGTTTGTCGACCTAGGAATAAAAAAGTGGAGAAAGATACTTTCACAGTATATAATTCTTGTAATTGCCATGCATTGATCAAAAGGAGTAGAAATGTGATTAATTACCTCAGATTTTTAAAATTTTTCAATGAGCCTAGAAGTAGTTTCAACCCAGGGTCAGTAATGTTACAACCCTCGAGGTTTAGATCAATATTCTGATGCCTAGCTTGATTAACCACATAGGATACTACACAGCACTGGTGAGGATCAAGTGTTTGGTCCTCTAAATCAATCTCATATTGAAGCTTTTCCAGGAAAACTAGGCATGCCTCAGGAGACTGATATTCATAAAGGCATCGACACACAAAAAGAATGTTGTCAGCTTCCACATCCTGCTCATAATCCCCCTCTTCATTCTGTTCTTGAGTGTAGAGGAAAGTACCTATAATCTGTTGAAAGTACTTGGCACGTGTGGCATGTATCTGTTTTACTGGCACCAAACACTTTATAAGGTCAACTAGATTATCAGAGAGAAGTCCAATCAAAAACGGGATTATATATTTGAGGTATTTCCCATCTTCATCGCTGCGGCATTGATTCAAGACATTGGTGATACAATCAGGATTTAAAATGAGAAAGAGAGCTGCCCAAAACTCTTGCATTGTATTATGCAAAAAGGCAAACACGTTGCAAGAGGTTGTTGATGGGTTCCTAAATTGCCTTGTCAAGAATGCATTTTGCACAAATTTGTCTTCATAATCCAAATTGGACAGATTCACAGTCCTTGCTTGCATTGCTTGATAAGAGGCTTGTGCTAAGTTCACGATATCCCTCTTATTGTCTGCAATATACTTATCTAAGTACTCCACATTTTGGTTTCCATGTTGTTTCATGCAAAAGCGAAAAATGCGGACATACATCTCAGTAACGGTCAATGGCTTACTCCTTTCTTTAGTAGGAATTGCTGAAATGCACGCAGTTACTATGAATGCATACAGCGGTACAGAACATAAACTGAATAGCTCTGGGTTTTCCAAAGCACCCATGTCATCTGTTGTTCCCAACATCCATTTAAAGTATTCACATATTGATTTGTGATTAAAGCCCTGAACCTCCACTCGATAAGACTGCCAGTCTGACAGGTAACCTGTATCCTCGGCTTCTGGCCTGCATGTGGTCAAGACCTTTGCATCCTTTAGAAGTTTTTTCTCCATGAGCTGCTTGATAACAGAGTTTTCGGTCACATCCATGACACCGTCGAAAATTAGAACAACATTCTCTGAATTTCTCTGAATATTTTCCAGCACATAATCTGCTTCTTTTTGCGGAGATAAGTACTTCTCAAAAAGAAGATCCTTCAACGTCTGTGGATATGAAGTCTGTGAGAAGACTCTCATCAGTGGCTCATCAAAATAAAACATATAACTCTCTTGACTTTTCTCTTCAGTCCAGAGTCTGAGAATCTCTAGAGCAACTGTTGTCTTGCCCACTCCAGGTTTCCCCACTAGAAGGATGCTTTTTTCGTCATTCATTAATAAATCTTTAGGAGACAATATTTTCTTGTCTGTTGGAATGCATGTCTTCAGTTTCTTAGAGCGAGATTTCTTGGATCCCTTGCTCTTTTTTTGTTTTGAAACTGTGCCGTAATCAGTGTCCATAACTAGAGGTATGTACATGAAGGGCTTCATTTTTTGTTCTTTTTTTAAGAAATTCATACTTTGGTTCCATTTTTCATCCTGTATCTGTCTTGCTTTCCATCTCAAAAGGTGCTGGTATTTGGTACAAGGATCTGAGTCTGGAAAATATATTTTAAATAAAAAAGTTTTATTAGTGATGCAACAATTGCTAAGTGAAACATGGTCTAAATATCCCTGATGAAATGTTAATACTATATATTTTTGCCTCTTGTTTGAGTTTTTAGCCAGGTAAATATGCAGTTAATTTGAGTTTCTGGGCTCAAAAGGGCAGATGATTGATTTTGATTGGGTTTTATTGCCTGGTAACTTATGGTACATGGCTAACCTGCTCCAGACCAGGATTTATTCTGCGTTAGAAATCATGAACCTAAACTGGACCAAATTAGCTTTGAGTTAAGTCTGGTATATCTGATGCCTCTCCAAGTCCCTGTGCCTCTATACAAAAATATATACCCCCAAATCAGTAGTACAGTATGGAAAACACAAATAAAAAAACAAAACAAAGTGGTGATTTCTAAATTTACTTTGACTTGTGGGGCGATGCAATCGCACAGAAGGTAGTGCTGTTGCCTCACAGCAGGAAGGTCGCTACTTCGAGCCTTGGCTGGGTCAGTTAGCATTTCTGTGTGGAGTTTGCATGTTCTACCCACGTTAATGTGGGTTTCCTCTGTGTGCTCCTGTTTTCCCCACAGGTCCAAAGACATGCGGTACAGGTGAATTGGGTACGCTAAATTGTCCGTAGTGTATGTGTGTGAATGAGTGTGTATGAGTGTTTCCCAGTGAAGGGTTGCAGCTGGAAGAGCATCCGCTGCGTAAAACATGAGCTGGATAAGTTGGCCGTTCATTCCACTGTGGCAACCCCAGAATATTAAAGGGACTAAGCTGAAAAGAAAATGAATGTATGAACTTTGACTTGTATTTTATTGCAGACAATATAAACAAACATTATTTAATGTGTTACATTAGTTTAGTTCTTGCAACACATTTCAAAAAAGTTGGTACAGGAGCAATTTAGTGCAAGTAATCAGGTAGATTGGTTAAATAATTATGTAATTTGAAATAAGGTGATTGTAGTTATGATTTAGTACAAAAGCAGCATCCAAAAAAGGTCTAGTCCAAGAGTGCCCAAGCTCGGTCCTGGAGGGCCAGTGTCCTGCAAAGTTTTGTTCCAACCTCAATCAGACACACCTGGGCTAGCTAATCAAGTTCTTACTAGGCTTTCTAGAAACAGGTGTGTTGAGGCAGGTTGGAGCTAAACTATGCAGGACACCGGCCCTCCAGGACTGAGTTTGGACACCCCTGGTCTAGCTCAAGCCAAGATTGTCAGAGGATCGCCAGTTTGCCAATATACATGACAAAATTATAGAAATACACATTACAAAGACCTTCCTGCAGAGGAAGCGGATACGGGTATTGACTGGCCTGCCTACAGTCCCGACCTGTCTCCAATAAATAATGTGTGGTGCATTTTGAAGAGCAAAATGTGACAACGAAGACCCCGTACTGTTGCCCAGGAAGACTTAAGACTTGTTTGCAGAAAGATTGGTACAAAATTACACTTGAAACACTTCATCACTTGGTGTCTTCAGTCTCTAAACATTTTTTAAAATGTTGTGAAATGGAGTGGTAACATTACAAAGTGGTAAATAATTTACTGTTTCAACTTGTTTTTTGAAATGTGTTGCAAGAACCAAAATAGGAATATGTGTTCATTAAAAAAAAGAGGAACACATTAAATGTTTGTTGTATTGTCTGCAATGAAAAGGTTTAAAATAAAATAAAAAAATTATTTAGAAATCACTACTTTTTTATTTGAGTTTTCCATACTGTCTCAACTTATTCTAATTTGAGGTTGTGTGTGTGTGTGTGTGTGTGTGTGTGTGTGTGTGTGTGTGTGATGAATTAGATTATTTTTATATTTTGCTTACAGTTTTTTTTGGGATCCATTAGGTATGTATATTGTTATCAGTTGTATATTTTGGATTTATTTGTACTGTTCAGATTTTTAGATTTCCATAATCTGTTAAGACATAATTATTTGGACTTTGTACATGGTGATGTTTATTGATTGTTTGTGGGATTTAATTTCCTTTTTGTATTGTTTGTAGTGCCTTAAGAACATCCTGTATCATTCTAGCATCCTAACAGCCTGTACATCCCTTCCATACTGTTTTTTATCGATCCTGTTGTCCTCCCAAAAACTGTGAACTGAGTTGTGAATCTGCTACCTGTGATCTGCTACTGCTACAGTTTTTTTTTCGGCTAGATAGAATAGCGAGAAAAGGAATGGTGCAACTTCCAGTGTTTTAATCAGACACATCACCAAGTTTCTACAATTTCAATGAACTTTAGATATTTAACATCTCATATCAACATGTATATAATGCAAGTCCACCAAACTAGACTGTTTTTGTCACAAAATTACAATTATTTGACAAAACAGCTCGCTGGTTTGTTTGGTGGTCTTTGATAAACCAAGTCAGGCTGCCTCATCTTGAATCTAGTAATGCTACTTTGTCTTCCCCAACTGTCATCATACGGTTCTGATTAAATGTAAGATTTAAATGACTAATTTAAAACACCTGACACAATTATCAAAAGTAATAATTATCACAATTTAATAAAAGTTCAGAGTAGATGTGCTTGGTACCTGTTTTGCTTGCAGTGTGAGACTGTGGCTCATCCCGAAAGGAGAAGCAGCTAATCCAGTGATGCAAATCTCTATAGCCCAAACCAGGTCTTGGAAATACTTGAAATCTTTTTTTGTCAAGTATTTTTAAAAATGCATAGCATGCCTCCTCTCCCATAGAAATAACCATGTCCAGAATAGTTCTGATCTTGTCCTGATTATCTTCTGAAGATTTAACTGAATTAAGTTCATGGTTCATGAAAAGCTTGCACTTGTTTAGGGCTTCAATTATATGATCACAATTTAAATGACCTGTAATTAGCAAAGTGCGGCCATTTTGGAGGAATTCCTGAGCGGATTGCTGGGCACTTGCCATGCTGAAGATTTTGTTCTGTTCTGGTGTAAACAAAGGAGAGAGAGAGAGAGAGAGAGAGATACAGAAATGCTGTTTCATACATTGCTGTTTCAAGTTCAACATCTTTTGATACTGTGCCTGACAGGAGTATTTACATAAATGCTTTTAAATTTACACTCATCGGCCACTTTATTAGGTACAACTGTCCAACTGCTCGTTAACGAAAATTTCTAATCAGCCAACCACATGGCAGCAGCTCAATGCTTTCAGGCATGTAGACATGGTCAAGACGATCTGCTGCAGTTCAAACCGAGCATCAGAATGGGCAAGAAAGGTGATCAGAGGAGAATGGCCAGACTGGTTCGAGCTGATGGAAAAGCAACAGTATCTCAAATCACCACTCTTTACAACCAAGCTATGCAGAAGAGTATCTCTGAATGCACAACACATCCAACCTTGAGGTGGATGTGCTACAGCAGCAGAAGACCACACTGGGTGCCACTCCTGTCAGCTAAGAAAAGAAAACTGAAGCTACAATTCCCACAGGCTCACCAAAATTGGACAATAGAAGATTGGAAAAATGTTGCCTGGTTTGATGAGTCTCAATTTCTGCTGCTACATTTGGATGGTAGGGTCAGCATTTAGCATCAACAACATGAAAGCATGGATCCATCCTGCCTTGTATCAGTGGTTCAGGCTGCTGATGGTGGCGTATTAGTGTGGAGGATATTTTCTTGGCACACTTTGTGCTCATTAGTACCAATTGAGCATTGTGTCAGTGCCATAGCCTACCTGAGTATAGTTGCTGACCATGTCCATCCCTTATGACCAGTGTACCCAATCTTCTGATGGCTACTTCCAGCATGATGCACCATGTCAAAAAGTGTGAATCATCTCGGACTGATATCTTGAACATGACAATGAGTTCACTGTACTCAAATGGCCTCCACAGTCACCAGAACTCAATCCAATAGAGCACTGTTGGCATGTGGTGGAATGGGAGATTCACATAATAGATGTGCAGTCAACAAATCTGCAGCAACTGATGCTATCATGTCAATATGGACCAAAATCTCTGAGGAAGATTCCAGTACCTTGTTGAATCTATAAGGATTAAGGCAGTTCTAAAGGTAAAAGGGGGCCTGAATCGGTACTAGTAAGGTGTCCCTAATAAAGTGGCCAGTGGATGTATCTGTATAGGGTTATGTACAATTTGCATGAAGCCTAAAATTAAGGCAAAGAGAAACGATATACCAGATAAAACAAATATAGAAGAACAAACAAAAACATGCTAAATCAAGTGAGCACTACAAAAAATAAATAAATTAGGCAAACAGAAAATAATGAAAACTATATTTTGCAGTTTCCGAACTCAAATAAATTTTCTTAAATAAAATGATTAAGTAGTCGGAAATGGAAATTTAGGCTATCATTTCACATTGTTTGCATCTGTAACTCGTCTCCTGAATGCAGCCAACCAGCAGCATCTCGTATTATGTTATCATTATGGCAACAATCATGTTTTACATTTCACAAAAAATTGGAAATCAATAATCGACTCCAAAAGCCATTAAAAACCATTATATTAAAAAAAGACTTAAATTTGCCCTCTCGTTTAAATTCCACTGAATTTCACCCTCACTTGTAAAACAGTGAGTTTTATTTTGAGCAATTGTCGAATTAAACTTGGGGGTGTGCAATTATTTTCCCCAACGGGCCATATTAGACTCTGGAGCAGTTTTAGAGCAAGTGAGATAAATCTAGCCTGAAAACTCCTCAGAAGGAAATCTAACCACTGTTGAACTTGAACAAGTGCACAAAAGTAAAGTTAAATATCTGAGATGAATATGCCACTACAGCACACAAATGATCACCAGAGAGGATCTGTATCTGGATTTTTAAAATCGTTTGTCTGAGGTAATAATCAGTCTATGCGTATTCTATACATAGTGTGAAGCTGTCTGTTTGGTTCTTGTCACGTGACTGTCACACGCATTGACTATGGGTCACACACGACATTCGGACATTGGACAGTCACTCAAGTCATTTGACACGACTGTTGGAAAACGTCCCCTTGTGGCAGTCGCACAGAACTTTCAGTTTTGTCGTGCACCATGGAAGAGAAGCTGGATTCTCGCCGTGTCCGAAATAAAGGGGTGCACAAGCAAGAGTCTTCTCCCTCCGTTCACCATGGTTGAATGATTAAGTGAAAAATGAAGGAACTAAACTGAATACAAAAAAATGAAGGGAATGTGGAGACAACATATATATTTTTATTACTCTCACTTATGAATAAAATTGTTTAAGATGCTCTTTTTGTCTGATTCAAAAATAACGAAAAAAAATGTAATTTCTCATCTCCCGCGCACGGTTCTGCTTAGACAACAGGGGAATACATCCGGTTGACCGGTCGCATCACAGTTCAAATATTTTAACGGATCCGCAGAACTCCACGCAGCTCCTGGACTACTCTCCATTGGAAATGAATGACTTCTGTCCCTTGTGGAGATATATCCCATTGCCCTTGTGTGCAGAAGAAAAAGTTGAACTACTGTCTTGTTAGTTTACTCGCTAAAGTCTGTCAGCTTTGCGCACACACGGCCCAGTTTTTCGGTTGATTTTTAGTTAATACTTCACGCTGGCCGATCAAAGATGTCCAGGGGTCTGCAAGACGCCCAGAGGGCGTAAAATCACCAAATCTGATCTAAACAAACCCAAGCAGTCCGATTCCTCATTTCAATCTCTTTCCTTTTTTTAAGCATTTCATCTTTTAATTATTTGCACACTTTTGAATGGAAGTTTACCAAAATAAAGTGTAGTGTAACCCTACAAAACATGTGGGGCACATAAATTCAAAGTAGCCTAATGTTTAACAGTTAAAATGTTAAAAAATATACGTTTATAAACGAGTACCAGTTCAAATGTGACTAAGTGATTAACCGACCTTTTTCAGCGCATCATATCCAGGAGGTTAGCTATGACAAGCCGCCCACAGACAAAACTCTCTCTCCTGAAGAACTCCCATTTACGGCTTTATCCAACAATGGAATGCTTTTCTTTACCCATCTCGGCACAAACCACGGTCATGTCGTTTCAGGAAGTACGTATTTATGCCTATGTATAGCGAGATGTGAAAACGAAACCCCTCAACATTTACGATAAACTGAATCACTGGTTGGTTTAGTATACCGTTTGACTGCTTCAAGTTTGTTTGTTTCTGTAAAAAAAATGCAACAGTTTTATTAATAATCTTTTAAATTAGGTCATAGGTGGCCTGTCATTGCTGAGACTCCTATAGTAGTGATTTTACAAAGTCTGCTAGGCAATCCAGAACTGCAAACAAATGGAGAACTGAGAGAAAGAAATCAAATGTTTCAGGAACTAAAATAATGTTTTGATTACGGTGACCTAACTGATAAAGGCTTGAAATTATACTCCTTTTGTGTGTGAATATGACTGTGACAGTAATCAGTGGTGATATTTTAGTCTTTGCGTTGTCATCTCCATTTTTAACTTTATTCTTGAAATATGTAATTGTTGATTCAGCTTCCTGTCAAAACAACTATCTATTAAGATCAGCAATCCTTAGGATATTTTTATTGTTCACTTTATCACACATCACACAGAGGCATTAACATGAAACATGGGAAATACTGCACAAATAAAACAAGCATTTTAATATAAAATAACTGCTTTGTCAAAAATAAATACTAGTGCTGGGAGAAAATTAATTACATCCAAAATAAGATTCTGTTTTGACATAATTTAAGTGTGTGTATTGTAGATACTTATTATACACACAGATGTGCATATATTTGAGGAAATATTAATTTAGATATTTTTTTAATATTATTATTTTTATTATATATGTGTCAAAACAAACTTTTATTTGATATGATTAATCTCTGCCAAGCACTAAAAAAAAAACACTATTTTCAAACAGAATATTTTCAGTACAAGTGCAATTATATGCAGTTATATCTACCAGATATATCATGAACTAGGAACTTGCATATGAACGTAATTCTTGAAACATCAATAAACACTAAAAAAGAAAGGTTGCCGTTTCCTGAACATCAAAAGCCTGAAATGACTAGAAATCCTAGATGTATTTCAAGGGTTGTTCAACTTGTCATTTAGCGGCTGAAGCAATCTACCAAGTGTTTGGAGTTCCACGGTCCAGCATTATTGGTCAAGAATTGCATGTTGACTTGAGTCTTTGTCTCCTGATACAACTGGGCAGCCATCTAGACAAAATGTAAAGCACATCAGCAGTTATAAACAGTCAATTACAGCAAATTTATATACATTCTATCTAATATTTCATAATATATATTTGTGGATAGTGTGAAAACTCTGTACACATACTTTTGCACTGCGATACGTGGTGAAAGACAGAAGCTCATGGTGGCCTGCCAGTCCCGCTAATTTTCTGAAGCAGAAGTACAACGCTCTTTTACAGAGTCTGCTGGATGACCCAGGACCGCTTACAAATGGAGAACTGTAAGAGAGAGCAATAAAAAGGATTTAGGGTCTAATTGTAGAGGGCCACTGTTCTCCAGAACTACAATGCTAAATTTCTCAACTGGTATATTTGAAAAATGCCATTAGGGCGGTCAATTGAGTACAATTTTTAATAATTTTATCGACACAAAGCGGGCTATTAAATTTGTCAGAAAAACTACACAAAGAAATTCTATAAGTCAAATGTTTTTAGTATAAAATCTGAAAAAGCATCACAGACATTTTAAAAAATAGCTATAGATTTGATTTAACTTAGAACTTATTACAAATTATTTAGGCTACAATGGTCAAGATTAGTTTTTGTTTTTCAGAATAAATTTCACCCCCAATACTTTGCTGCAGGAATTTAAGACCTTTGCTAATGAGTTCCAACCAACAAATCAATGAGAATGTTAAAATCCGTTCAACATAAGCCTTATAGAAGGCAACTAATCTGTCAACATTAAAATTAGCTGATTTCCCCAAACAATTAACTCTTTGTTGACCCATTCTAAACAGTCTTTAAGTTCTCTCTGCACATTATTGTTTATTACAAATAATAGTACCTATGTACCATCAGTTACTTAAATATGTTTGTTATCAACCATTGTACCTGGAACTGCTTCCGCCACAGGTCAATGCACATATCTTTTGTTTAATCTGTTTTAACAATTAGACCAGCTGATTTGCAAAATGCTCAACAAGAGGTCTGTGTTCCGTGTGGTCAGTGATGGTTTCAGTGGCTTGCCACAAGGTCAGAGCGTTTTTGCTATTACTGATGTGTTGATTTTTTCTCTCTTTATGTCATTAGACCAGTGTTAATTTTGTTGAAGAACAAGTTTCTATCGACGAAAACTAAATAAAAAATGAATTAATGATGACGATAACTATAATAAAAATATACTGACATTTTCATTGACTCATAAAAACTAGACAAGAATGTGAATGAGGGACTTTTTTTGGTAAATATCCAATCACAAGTAATCTTGGTGTGTTGCAGGACGCACACACGCACTTTTGAAAAGTAACTGGTCCACAGTAAACACGGGATGTGATTACATCATCTTGCATGGGGTGTCCATCAGATTACACTAAAATGAATTTGCAACAGCTAGGAGAAAAAGAAGATTTACGTTTGATGTCAAGACAAAAAGACCGCAAACCGTTTGGGGGAGGAAATAGCTGATAAAAACAACAAGTCTTAAGCGACATCAGCATGCCATTACTCTACTTATTTATTAAGTGCTATAGATAGGCACCATGTACTGTAACACCAGCTACAACAGTAAAGCTTGCTATATACTGACATTGCAAATTGAACTTAAACTATATTAATCACTTTCAAAGATTTAATTGCATGAAACTGTTTAACAGACTGATCAAAAAGACTATTGTTTTATTTATTCTTACATGTATATTAATTGCAGACACATAATTTTACATATTAATAATTATGAATTAAATAAACAATGCATATCTAATTTTTCATTCACTCATTCATTTTCTTGTCGGCTCAGTCCCTTTATTAATCCGGGGTCGCCACAGCGGAATGAACCGCCAACTTATCCAGCAATTTTTTACGCAGAGGATGCCCTTCCAGCCGCAACCCATCTCTGGGAAACATCCACACACACATTCACACACACACTCATACATAACCCACGCAAAGGCAGGGAGAACATGCAAACTCCACACAGAAACGCCAACTGAGCCGAGGTTCGAACCAGCGACCTTCTTGCTGTGAGGCGACAGCACTACCTACTGCGCCACTGCCTCGCCCCATATCTAATTTTTATCAGACTGTTTAATTTAATTTTAAGTTAGAATATTCTGCATAAATAAATGTATACAATATTTAATTACATTGGACTTAAATTAAACCCAATATATTTAGTCAACTAAATCTAGAGTAGATTTAATCAATTAAAATCTTATGAAATTTAGTTGACTAAAACGATTCAGAAGACTAAAATATAACTAATAAAACTAATATACACTAAATAAACTAATATAAACTAAAATCATGCAGAAAACTAAAATATGACTTTAACTAAAATGGAATTTTAGTCAAAACACTAAGACTAAAACTGAATCAAAATTTGCTGTTAAAAATAACTCTGCATTAGACATGTTTAATTTCAGGTTTTTGCAGCCCATGAATTTCTGCTTTCATCCATGGTTTCTGGTTAGTGTGGTGATGCTTTCCCCTTGCTGGAAAATTTACATGCGAGTACAACTTTGAGTTTCATGGTTCTGGTTCATGGCTCATTTCGGTCCTTGAGGGCCGGTGTCCCTGCAGGGTTTAGCTCCAGCTTGCCTCAACACACCTGCCTGGGTGTTTTAAGTATACCTAGTAAGACCTTGATTAGCTTGTACAGGTGTGTTTGATTAGAGTTGGAGCTAAAATCTGCAGGACACCGGCCCTCCAGGAACAAGTTTGGTGACCCTTGGACTATAGAATACACAAGACATGCAACTTGTATAGTTTTGAATGGAGAAAAGGGTAACGGTCAATATGATGAATAAAGCCCTGCCTTCTAGTACAGTAGCCAATCATCAATCGCTATAGATTGACAATTTTCTGGGGGAGGGGCTAAATCCAGATATGAGTTTCTGCCAATTTTGTGAGACTCGAACATTTAGAAATGAAACTAAAGAGACAGTTGTTGTTTAATTTAATTGTTGATTCCTAAAATAACATTTAATTGAAAGATTGGCATACAATTTAATGTTTCCCCATTCAAACAGAATGCCCAAGCATACTGCCTGAGAGGCATTTCAAAGCTGGCCGCCAAGTAAAATGACTCCTTAAAGGTACTTTGGTTGTAGTTACCAGCTATGGTAAAAAGGAGCCGTGGTTTTTGGTTGCATGCTAACAAAAACGTTGTTTAGTTCACAAAGTGAGCCCTTAAGATGTGATTATGTTTGACACTCAGTGCTTCCCACACAGATTTTACTTTGGCGGGCTAGGTGTATTTGGTGACAATTATTTTTTACTATTATCATCCTTTTACACTTTTTTTTATCTGCCCAATAGCCTAACATCCGCAATCGATTAACCAGTGGAAATTCTCCTCTCGCCCTACACATTTCCTACTTCTTGTTGTATGTGCGCAAGAACTGTCACAGACAGTCTGAAGAGACCCAGAGAGATGCACTTTTTTAGGACTTATAATGTGTCCGTCCGAGGTTTCTTAACCTCCTAATAAATGCCCAGGATTCGGCATTTGGTTTCGCTTTCGAAGCTGCCGTCATTTTTATTTTAGGCCTGATTTACTTTGGATTAGCTTCGCAGCTGACATCGTCCACACAGCCACAAAAATGAGAGAAACTTTAAATAATTAATTCTTTGATCTAAACGATTCAGATAAACTTTTCTAGTTACTCAGAGAGGCTGAAATTACATTTAAACTGGCTGCAAAATATATGTACACCATTAGAAATGATAAATTAACTCATTTGTCTTAATTAAATAATCCATCCTTTTCATTATTGTAATTGTTAAGTTTTTAGAGATATTTATTCCATAGATGTTTTTATTCTGTTATGTCATTTATATTGATGATAATGATGTTACATATTTTAAACATATCTGACAATATCAAACAGATATTTATACAAATCAACACATCTAAAATGCCAGCAACAGATTTTAATGTTTTAAAATCTTTTATTTAAAAAAAAATCTTAAGATTTTAAGAATAAATGTAAAGCAAATAGTGGATGTTTTTTTTTTCCAACAGTCTTAAAAAACTCAACCCATTAAATAGAAACAATGTATAACAAATAAAAATTACTTTTTCTGTTGCATGTCTGTAACGTGCCATGGGTAAAAGGTGTGTTTCAATCAGGTTACCACCACAAGTATATTTCAAACCTGTGGGAAGCACTGAACACTAATCAATTAAATGAAATGCAAGATGCATTTACTGCATTCAAAAAATGTATACTTTATTTTTTCCATAATTAATGTAATTAATATTATATCTATACTGATTTTTCAAAGTTAGCTCAATAACTAATTGATTTGAAATCGGTTTATAACCACTAAGGCAGTGGTCACCAAACTTGTTCCTGGAGGGCCGGTGTCCTGCAGATTTTAGCTCCAACCCTAATCAAACACACCTGAACAAGCTAATTAAGGTCTTACTAGGTATGCTTAAAACACCCAGGCAGGTGTGTTGAGGCAAGTTGGAGCTAAACCCTGCAGGGACCCGCCCTCCAGGACCGAGATTGGTGACCCATGCACTAAGGCTTTGATAAAAGACAACTTCAAAAAACACTGACTTGTTGATGGCATAGCCAGTGGTGCTGTCCAGTATCTCAATACTGGAGTCTCCCAAGCACCAGTTGACACTGAGGTCCTTGCAGTACTCATTGTTCTCCCCAGGCCCCACGTTCTCTCCACTCAGGAAGAAGATGCTGGTTTGTTTGAATGGAGGAGGCAGTGCATCTGTCCAGCCTGTACCCAGACGCTTGTTGATGATTTCAGACACTTTCTCTGAGCAGTGCCTAGAATCACCTTGGCAACAAGCAGAGAAAAGGTTAATGAGTAAAGCCATTCTTCTAGCTGTGAATGACTTGCACAGCTTCAATAAAGATCCAATTAAGATATTAGGAAACATTTGGAGTGCTCGGCCACTTGCTAATGTGTATAGCTTACCAAGCACAAAGCTGGTGATGTAGACTGGGTTAATGAAATGACTCAGTAGCGCTCCCTGCAGGCCAGTAACAGTCCAGCGTGTGAGTTTAGCACTGTCAGACATGCAACATGTGCGAGCACCCCACACACTTGGAAGCAGGAAGGCAGCAGGAATGAGAGAACCCTTAGCATGGCACTGCAGCTTCAGAGCTGAGTAAGCACTGTTTTGAGACCTGTGAGAGATTACAGATTTTTCACTCATTTTGTTTTGTAATGTCAATTTTAAAGACTAGATGAATGAAATTCATATGACTCACAAACGGCTAGCGCTAAGGAAATTTTCAAATGGTCCAGATAGAAAAGATTTTAATTTGCCCTATCAAAAATGTATTATAATGTAATACTTTTAATAACACAATAATATTTAATAATAAAAAAGGTAAATATTTTAGATATTGCTTAGCAAAATATTTAAATACTGTGTAAAAACAAGCAAGCCTTTTTTTCAGAAAAATAATTAAACCATTATGGTAAATAGAGTTAAAATGACCTTTTTAAATAAAAAGTTTTATAAAGATTATTGGTTATTGTATAGGTGTTGGCCAGATTGGGTAGATATACAGTACATGAACAAAGGAAAAAGATTTAAGACCTACAACACAATATTTCAGTAAATTTAAGACTTTTTAAGGCCCAAAATTTCGATTTTGACATTTAAAACATTTTAAGTCCCTGCAGGCGCCCTGAATATACATTAGACAGAATTGACGTAATGAGTCAACCAGGGTTGTCAAACTTTGGAAAACGACAGCCCTGCAGAATTTATTTCCAACAGGGCTACAGAAAGGAAGAAAATTGTAGCATTTTGTGCAGTCATTCACCATATTACTGACAAACAGCTGAACCACTGTGCAAAAAAAAAAAAAAATCAGGGGTGTGTTTCTGAAAACCATCATTAACCAACTAAGGTCGCAAGTTCCGTCGTTACAAATATAGTTAGTTGATTTGCCGTTTCCCAAATCCATCGTTCCAACAAACATTTGCAAACTGCGACACAAACTTGTACACTTGCAACTACACCTCTTGAGTTGTAGTTAGAAACATATTTCCTGGCTGTGTTCTATTCCCAGTAATTCCATTTTGAACACAGCCATGGTTCATGACGAAAGATATAGGTGACCTTTTATTTTAAAAGCTGAATTTACGTTGTGTCTCCAAAAATTGTGAAAACAAAAATATATAGGATACATTAATGCTTTTCATTTATAGTAGGTTATTTATCAAGTATCTGTACTGTATATGACATGGGCCTGTTGGTTAGAACATTTCTGCAGTGTTTTGCATGTGTCAAATTGTAAAAGTAAACTTTAAAAAAAAAGAACAATATCCAACTTAATAATAATCATAATAACCATCATCATCATCAAAATTGTTATTATTAAACTATTACATTTTTTAAATTTCTTAATAAATAATTAATAATAAATTTAATTTCTTAATAGCCTCATTATTTACAGTATATGATTTATATCAATTACAATACGTGTTAGCTTTTTGTAAGTGATTTTATGTTTTAGAACAGAATATGGAGCATTATAATTTTGTAAAAGAAACACAGGCCCTTTATGTGTCGTTTATATATATTTAAATTATTATGAAAAACCAGTGCATGTTTCTACCAAAACTAATATTGTTTCTTTTTTTATGCGTGTGCGTGTAAAACAATGTAATTTGCACAAAGAAATTATTGGTTCTTCTTTATGAAGTTCTTACCACCCCATTTAAAGCATCATTATGGGTACTTTACATTATAACTAATGTGGTTCAAACAATGGATCTGCGACAGAGAAACTACAGGTTTTGGCAAACACTCATCACTACATCGTTCTTTTCCCAAACGATGCATCGTACTATGATAGTTCAGCCCCGAGTTACGTCGTTGTTTGGGAAACGCACCCCAGGTTAGAAGGCTTGTCATTAAACAAATCCTCAACTAATATCATGCTTTTACTGTAGTCTTACTAATAGCAGCCATTGGCAGAAACTTATGATATACTTATATAATGTAGTTAATGTATCAAATATATTACATATTATTGTTTTTGACTTGGAGCAGAATCTGAGTTTGACATTCATGCAGTATGTGTATTACATTAAAATGACACTAACAGAACTATGACAGAATTGATTTATAGAGTCAACCAGGGTCGTCAAACTCTGCTTCTGGAAAACAACAGCTCTAGAATTTAGTTCCAATAGAGCCACAGAAAGCATGAAAATTGTCACATTTGGGCAGCCAATCACCACATATCTAACAGCTGAAACACTGCACAACAACAATCAGGTTTCATTACACAAATAGTAAACTATTACCATGGTTATTACTGTAGTAATATGGCTTTATCTGTAGTAATAATAAAACATGATATACTTATATAATGTAATTAATATAAAATATATTATATATGAGTAATGTAATAAAATTTTGCTACTGTATTTTGAAAAATAATAATAACATATTTAAGTTTTTCTTGTTTTAAATACAAACAAATGATTGTCACACTCTGAAATGCCCATTAAAGGTGGATTTATCCTGTTGGGAATCTCTATTGATCCCGAAGACCTTGATAAGCTAGTAATATATTCTCTGTCAAAAACCATGCAGTATGTGTATTATTTTAAAATTATACTAACAAAACTATGCACTGAGCTGCTCCTTTTGGGGTTTTGTTGGTGTATAGATGAAGGTAAATATGTGGCTTGAGCTGAAGCAGTCGTTCGGCTGGAACGCTTTCCAAAATTGAGCGCTGCTTCATGTCTGGATCCGCACTGTAGAACAGCAGGAGCTGCTTGTACAAGTACCTGTAACACCATACAGGACAACAGACACATTTTTCTAATTTTAGTTAAAACTGCGGTCAGAAGAGAGATGATAATGAATCAAAATATTTTACCAAAACTGTAATAGGGATTAAGACACGCTCTCACTTACCTTAGAATTGAGACTTGAAATACTTAATACTGGAGACTAAAAGTGCAATTTATTCATTATTTATTCACCTTCAAGTGGTTCCAATTCTTTATCAGTTTCTTTTTATTTTGAATGCAATAGAATATATTTTGAAGAAAGCTGACATCCACAGGAGGGAAAGAATATTATGGAAATTAATGTTTACCTCTTTCCAACATTCTTTGAAATATTTTTGTATTAAAACTTTAGTTTTAAAAAGTTTTGGAACAAGTGAAAGGAGAACAAATAATGACAGAGTTTTCAGTTACAGAAATAAATACAAATGAAATGTTCATGTGAGTACATAGTATGCACAACAGATGTTTATCATATATGCTTGTCTTTATATCTTGTTCAAAATCATTGCACCTTTTGAGGGCTCTGCGGGCAATGACAATAGCATGGCAGTCATGGACAACAGATCCTGTGTAAGAAAGCCATCCACTGCAGCAGCTCTGACCCGATCCCAGAGCTACCACTTCATAATTCTCACAGCGCTGGCCACCTGTGTCCCGCACCTCTGAAACACACATCAAATAAATATATTTCATTCATTTACTTCTTTTCAGCTTAGTCACAGCGGAACTTATCCAGCTTATGTCTTTACGCAGCGGATACCCTTCCAACCACAACCCATCACTGGGAAACATCCATTCATCCATCCACACACTCATTCACACACACATACACTAATGAGCCAAAAAAGTCTAACTATTTATTTAGTCATGTTTATTAAAAAGTATTTGAAAAATTAGCCAATTAGCTAAATTTATATATACATTTTTAAATAGAACCTTTCACAAAAAGGCATTTAATGGTCATCAGTTTATATAATCCTTTAAAACCTTTAATATTTAGATTTGTATACAAGATTTGTATATTTTTTAAGTTTTAAGGACTTAAATAATTGTGATGTTTAATGTAAACATAACCTTTTTGGTTTTGATAGTTTTATTAAATTTAATTATCTTAAATAGTTTTTTAAATGTTTAATAATCATGTTCCAATGCTGTTTTCAGATATAATCATTAGGCACCAGACCTCTCACAGAGTCACACGGGTAACTGCTAATGGTGACAAATGGTGAAAAACAGAATGACCAAAAGAGGTCTTACACTTTGGCACTAGACCCAATGTGTAGGACCTCTTTTGATCAACCTGTTTTTTCTGTTAAGGGAACCAAATTGTGGAATAATTTATCTGTTAGTCTAACATTAGAAAGTAATATAAATGTTTTAGAAGTGTTCTTAAAAAGTGGTTAAAAACAAAACAGCAGTGTTTTCATATAGTCTACTATTAGTTTGTTTGATCATGCCGCCTTTGCTTTAGCCTTACAGTAATTTTATTAATGTTGTGTATATGTATCTTTTTTATTTTCATTTTATGTCAAGCCTCCCGTGGACAGGTGTTGAGAATTAGCAAGTCTGCTAAAACACTTAAAGGTGCAGTAGGTGATTGTCTTCAGAAATGTTTTGCTTTGGACAGCAGAGGAGGGACTGTGTTTCAAAGATATTATACTAACCGGACAGCATTGTGGCAGATCACCTGCGGCACCTTTAAACAAATGCATTTGCTTGTCCATGTACATGTCAAATAAATAAATAAAAAGTATATTTTAAAGCTAAAGTTTGTGTTTCCAGCAAATAAAAAAAAACAAGTAAACACTTACGGGAGGTTTTTCTAATGCAGTGTCTATAAGAGGGACAGTAAATTTGGCATTGTTTTTACTCCAGGCTGCCGTTATCAGTCTCACACAATTTGTTTTGTTATTTTAAAGGTCATAAAAACACGATTGTAGAGTTTTTCTTTTACTGTTTGAGCAAACTGGAATGCAAAATAATGTATAATGTGGTACTTTTCCATCCATTTCTATCTAACTTTACAGAACTATGATGACTTTCGCAGCTGAAAAACTTGTAAATGTGAAAAAGGTTTATTGTTTTTATTTTAGTTTAGTGCATATATTAGTTTTTTATTTTAAATGTAGTCTGCATATTTGTCTCTTAGGTCTTGTTTTGTATTTTCAGTACTATCTCTTTTTGTTAAATTCATAGTAAAGTGTTCTTGAGCTCTGGAAATGCGCTATATAAATAAAAATGTGTTATTATTACTAAAAAATACTAATAAATAAAGAATTTGCTTTTATTTATGATTTAACAATATAACCTTGTCTCACACTCACCTCTTTCCAGTACAAAAGCAGCAAAGCAGCTCTTAGTGCTGTGGTATTCTGGGCATTCCCTGAGTAGCTTGTCAAAACGTCCAGTACACAAAGCTGTTACGCGATTTTTGTGCCAGTCTGCGAACTTCACTGTAAGAGCAAGGAGAGTTTTAAACAAAAGTAAAAGTCAGCATAATGTAAAATCTTCAGTCAGTGTACCTCCAGTTCTCTGGTCCCTCGTGAGAGAGCCATCAGTGGCATCTTCCAGTAAATCTACTGTGGCTTCAGGTGCCGTAACACTGCTCAGGCTCCATCCAGATAGGGAAGTAACGTCAGAGGAAGAGCCCAGGTCTTCCATTTGGGGAGGGGAATCCGGTGACTGCACCTCTTGGGTTTGGTGGCCTACGGAAGATTGTCCCTCAACATCATCTAAGCAGTGTAACTCTGGATTAGTGGACTGACTCTCTTCTCCAGCAGACCGGGAATCCTCAATCTCGCTGTTAGGGGTTAGCGGTCTGAGGCTGGCCCTGTGGATGCCAAAGGTGGGCTCTCTTTCAGAGGCAAAGCGCATCATTAGGGTGGCAGCCATTCGTGGAAGCCGCTTCCCCTCTGTGCTGACACCATGGTTTGCCATTATCTGTTGTAAGAAATCAGACAGTTTTTAAAATTTACCTTAAACTTTTCGTATGAGTGGTCACAGATCTAGGAAACTTAGTCACTCGAGACTTTTGGTCTCATTCACTTCCATTGATTTTTTAGCCATAAAATAATAGCTTGTTATGCTGCTTGATGTTGCAAACTGGGAGCTGTTTCATACATATTGTTTAGAAAAGCAGGGATTAAAGTCTTCAATGAGCCAAACTAAATGTCCATGCTTAAATTGGTTCCATAACAGCAAGTTGAAGATCATTTGATCTAACGAATCTGAGTTCAGTTTAAATAATCTAGATAACAGCTTGTGTATGTTACTGTCATGAAACCTTAAAGGTTAAGCATAGATGCATGATTATGTTGTGTGCTAACATGGCAACTACAAGAACTGAAAGATCTCTGAAATGAGACACAGCCACGTTTGTTTTTAGAGTTTAAAAATATAAAAATTTAAACATAATAATCAAAAACTGCGAGAGAGAAAGCTGACAGGAAATTACAGATTGTCTCAATAGGCTACATATGTAGCAATATATTTTAAAATATAGGCCATTATTTAGGCCTATTAACATTAAATTAAATATTAAGAGGTTAAGTGAATTAAAATTAAAGTTATAGCAGCTGATAGTTATCATTAAATGTTTGTTTCCCAGCATAAGTTGCCGAACTAACTGAGTTTGAACTATCATAAATTTGATTTATGATAAAATTTATTGTGAATTTATAAATAAATTATGAACAAAATCTGCCATTAATAAACCTGACTTACCAGAATAAGCCTGGCTTTTACTCTAAGCTTGGTTAATGGAACAGCCCCTGGTCTTTTGTAATTATATTATTTCTATGTACAGTCATTAACACATTTGTTTGTAGTAGTTTGAGCTTTTCTGCCATTTGTTATTCCAAGTCATTTCTCCCCAAGGTAATTGAATAGGAATTCCTAAAATTATCCCAAATACATATGAATCACATCCATATATATTTATAAACACTCTTGGTGACCTTCTAACATGAATAATACCAATTTTAATCTGAAGAAATTCTTAATCTGACCTGCGAACTATAAAAAAAAATCATGATTTACATTTATATAAATTGTTTACTGAATTAGACTAGCTTGGAAAACTCACATTATTTACATATGTTTGATTGTCTTTTGTTGCTCTGATTACATCTACTGTCTTATTTGTCAGTCACTTTGGATAAAAGCATCAGCCACATGATTTAAATAGAAAATATGATGACAGATACAGACAGATCAGACACAAGAAGTGGCAAATCTTAGCTCGAGAGACATCACATACGACCTAAATACAGCAAATAACCTTTACATGCATGAACGTGAGCTAGAATGTATTTACAACCGGACGCTCGGTTTAGCTTTAACGTTACTCCTACAAAACGTGTTATAAAAGTGCTTATTAAGCAGTGATTCGATGGAATTTAAATGACTTGTCGTGTTGCAAAGCTGAAAAAAGTCTACAACTTAACAGCTTACAGAACATAAGTAATTGTAACGTTACCTGACTTGTAAATGAGCTTCAGCGTCGAATAATCGTTCACCTGCGATGTTGAAGCACAAGGTGGAGCTAATAAGGGGGCGGAGTCTACACGAGGGCCGTGATGACGATTGTGCGTCAAAGATGGATGAAAAACAAAACTACTTTTCATGATGTTCCTTGGAAGATTGTGTGGTCTTTAACCAACAACTTTTTAATCACAAATAAGATTAAAGAGGTTACCTTCGGTTTATCAGAGTTTATCCGGTGAATGTTTATATAAAATGCTTCCTGGATAGATTTCCTTTGTTCCTTTTGTGGAATAATAAGATTTTTTGGAAAGAATTAAGTTTATTTATATATGCCTCTATTTTAGATATTATTTTCCTTTGTTATGTTTTACTTGGTTTGTATCATGTTGATAAAGTAAAAGACAAATATTTTCTAATAAATCAATTTATTTCACTAGCAAAATTGTTTATACACAAATGCAAATTTTTCTACATATAAGCCCCTGCTTCTTATTTTTTGTAAAGTTTTGAAATATTATTTGAATATAATCTCTACCTCCAGCAATGCTAAAGCTTTACAATCAATAACACTGTTACTCTTTTTAACATTGACTGTATTAAATGTGACCTTTTATACATCACTATGACCTTGCGTTAAGATATAGATTTAAAGTGATCTATTGTAAATTAAATTTCCCCTGGCATATTTTTGTTTCTCTTTTTGTTTTGTTCTACTTTTGTTGTTATATGATTTATACATTTTCTGTGTATTTTTGTACCCTTGTTGACCATTCCAAAAAAAATTATACATACATATATATATATATATATATATATATATATATATATATATATATATATATATATATATATATATATATATATGTGTGTGTGTGTGTGTGTGTGTGTGTGTGTGTGTGTGTGTGTGTGTGTGTGTGTGTGTGTGTGTGTGTGTGTACATTGCTGACTGAAATACATTTACTTGAGACTATTTATAACTTAGATACCAAAAAGCGTATAAAACAATTGAAATGTTTATGTTCTGTATTATTTTGTGATCTCTTTGTACCACTTTTACATTTATTTTAATCTTTCCTTATTTCATTGTTCCAATCGGCAGTTGTGTATAAAATGTCTAATGTTGTTATTTTTCTAAATAAATTAAGATAAATAAATAAAAATAAATTTATAGATAAATAGATAAGATAAAGATTATTAAAGTATAGATAGATAGATAGATAGATAGATAGATAGATAGATAGATAGATAGATAGATAGATAGATAGATAGATAGATAGATAGATAGATAGATAGATAGATAGATAGATAGATTATATTAATTACATTTCTTGATATGATTTAATTATTTTGGTTATTTCCTGTTTTGCATCTACATTTCAAAGATGTAAGATGCTTTTCTGTCATTTGACATCTGAAATATGTTACATGTTTGTCTTTGAGCTAGCATTCGATATTCTTTTTTTTTTTAAAGCTGTTATTTGCGAAGTGTTGATCTGCTGTATTGGCCCAAAGGGTGTCAAAACCACAATGCATTTTTTTTCTAAATTTATCAGACTTCACCTGTTGTGCTTCATGGGTAATCTCTAAATGACCTAGCCTTCATCCTGACCTAATTTAGGCGGAGGAAACATCCTGTTAGATGTAGATTAGTGACATAATGTTAAGTTCGTTTGGCCTTTACTCATCAGCATTAACATCTGGTGCTGACACAGGAAGTTGTAAGTTCTCCAGCCAGTTTTTTTTATTACAATCTTAAATGATACATTTTTTCACATTTCTCAAGACAGTCTATATAATAAGTGTTATTACTAAGTGTAATAAATCTCTAGACCCATCTAAATGATCAAAAACTGTTCACAAATGTAGCTAAATGATTAAGAGAAATGTTAAAACACAAACAAATAATGATATAACTGTATTTGAAAGTTCTGCATTGGGTTTTGTGACGTTAATTCTTTTATGTAAAAATAAATTTGCATAGTCATCTTTGGCTTCTCACAAAACACATTTTCTCTACCTCAAATCTAGTGCTTCACAATTGGAAATCACCTTTTCCTCCTCATATATATATAATATATATATATATATAATATATATATATATATATATATATATATATATATATATATATATATATATATATATATATATATATATATATATATATATATATAAACCTTAAAAAATAAAGTAATAAAAAATAAATTATTTTCATCAATATGTGTAAAAAAAATTAATATATCCATTGCGTTTACATGCATTTTACCAGCAGATGTCACCAACGGGTAGTGTTTTAATGAATGTACTAGAGCTTGTTTCATTCCACATTTGACAGCCATTATACAAATATTATTTTCATTGTGCTTTTTAATTATGCGTTTTTAACTAAATAAATGTTAATATGTTAATGTTAATATATTACAATATATATTACAATTTTAACCTGTTATGGATATATAATTTCCCCAGTAATATATTTTTTTGTATAATTGCCTTTTCTATTATTTTCAAATCGTAGTGTTAAATTAAATTTTTATTTCATGAAATACGAAGTACAATTATCTTACATACAGAAATAACCAAACAAGCAAATTTGTATGAGGTACCGTGTAGGATTTAAATCAAACTTTGCTTACAAACACATACATAAACACGTGTATATACACCTATAAATTACTCGCATATACACCTATACTACTGGATGTTCGAAACAACATGAATGAAACTTGTGTATATACATATAAACTTGACGCATGAATACACCCACATACACACGCACATACATATAAACTTTATCCTCACATAAACACCCACATTAACACACGCACATACATATAAACTTGCTGCATGCCTACCCTAATGTTGTCTTTTGGACGGAATGCGTCAACAGATCCGCCATTTTAGTACAGGGTAACGCTCCTTTGAAATGAACGCTCCTTTTAAACGAGCGTCATCTAGCGGTCACATAATCTAATTAAATAAATAAATATTTATAAATAAATGTTATTAACTTATTTTATAAATACATATACCTTGACATTAACTTTTTTTCTTACCAACCCCACTGGTCTTTTTCACAAGAAAAAATTTTATTGTTGGAAACTGTGTTTTATATATATCTATATTTGACTTTTGCATGCTTGAGGAAGAGACGTTTTACTTGATTTGGGTCATTAAAAAACTCCGACTACCAATATTATGATATAGGTTGCCTATATCTGCTGTATTCACCCTAAAACCTACAGTAGGTTGACCTAAAACCAAAGACAATACCCATTCTTGTCTTAAGACATTTTAAGCAAATTTTTGAATAACAGTAAGTTCATGACATGTTACATATATAGTAAATCTGCTGGTTTTAAACATACAGCATAATAATAATACAGGTATGTAACAACCATAACATTACTCTTATGTCTTAGGACAAATATGATTAACTTTTGATTACCTACACTAAATGTTGACTATTGAAGGTACATTTATGACAACTATTTATTTGTAGACTACTGTATTATCAAACGATGTTGCATACAAATGCATTCAACAGACTTAAATGACAGTGTATTGCTGTAGAGGACAAATAAAACACGGGACAGGTGTTTAGGAAGAGTATAGTTTATTTTTGTTTGACCTGCAAACTTATCTAAACAAGACAAACTCTCAGAAAACAGACCGGAAACATTATGATGCGCGCGCTCGTGGAGATGACCCGCGGTCGTCTTCAACTGTTGTCTTCAATAGTCCATCTTTGCTCAACAACTCATCTGAAAAACAAAGCAAAACATTACAACATTCAGACAAAGAGCAGAGAGCATAGAATCACCAAGAGGCGTTACTCTAGTGCAATTTGGGAAACAATAACGCGCTTTTTGAATACATTAAATAAAAACAAAGCCGCTGTTTGCCATTGCGACAGCAATGATATCCAATGCACGAGCGACCGCTTTCACTTCAAAATGGCGGAATCTGTTGCTCTTGGTCATCCTAGGCTCTTTGCATAGTTAAATCATAACAGTTATCATGGTTTCTATTTCAAACTATAGTAAACTAAAGTTTGAAACTATAGTTTAAAATAGAAGATGAGTGGGCCTCGCCACTCCCACCCACCATAACCCTCGCAGCGAGGTCCCACTACCGGCCCCCCGTGTTTCCCTGAGGGTCCTCGGGGGTTGTTTGTTCCCTGCCTAGGGCTCAAAGGCCGCCTCGCCCCAGGGAGTGCACGGAAAGACCGGGCGCCAGGCCGTGCCAGTATTCACTGGATGTTGCTCGGCGGCACATTTCGAGCAACAAACACGTAATATTCTTCGCGATATTGCGTTTATGTACGCAAACCGCAAGGAACTACAGCACAGACGGGCCCGGGTGAAGCATCACGAAGCGGACTTCGTGAGTTTGGCGTAGCTCCACTCGTACCGTCGGTATTGAACTCACCTTGGTCAAGTACAAACAGCTACACCGGGCGAACTGACAACGCTGACCGAGAGCACACGAGCTTTATAGGAATGCATATGCAAATTTTTACAAGGCACGTCACTGTTGTCTCGTTGTCATGGCGAGCGCTGAGGAGGGCTCATCTGATTGGAGCACAGAGACTCACGGCCTCACGGCTAGTTGCCGTCTGCTGTTGACAAAAATATCTTAAATATAATAAATATATATTTTTACATTTTTGGTGCTGTGTAATATTCTGGGATGCAGTAGAATATGGAGACAGATGAATATAATTGGATATATGCCGAGCTAGTGTTGTTCCCATACTTATAAACTTCCAGTGACCGGTTATTGTGAGTTTTTTTTCCATTTTATACGGTTCCTTTTACAGCATTGATGTTGTGATGCAATTAAAATACATTCAGTTAAATAAACTTTGGCATTCATTTAGTTGTTCAAGCGTAAAACGAGACAAATGACCCTTTACTCGCACTCGGCCGTCATAATCGGCAGACTAGCGCAGACGCTCCATTGAATACAATAAGGTAAAATAACTTAAATGCTCATATTATAAAGACATGGCGGGGGAAATGTAATGTAATGCAGTGCTTCTTGTAAAATCTGAGACCCACTTTATATCGGATATCACTCAGCCAGTGGAGATCGCTGATTTTT